GAAGCGAAACAGACCTCTCGCCAAGTATAAGATGCAAAAAAGTATCGCATCTCATCCCAATCAGCTGACTTATACCGCCATATTCGTTGATCATCTTGAGACTCGTAATCAGGTGGAGAATATGACGATACAGATTTCACCAGACAGTGGTCAGATGTACCCAAAGGAGAGGTAACATGTACTTCATATCTGTATGGTTCGGTAGTCAGCATATGTTAACTGCCTTCATAAAAGCAGGATTTTTTAAATACTACTGTAGGTTGTTTTATATACGTATTATACGTGGTAGAGCCATGCTACAACTACATTAGTAGTATAGATGTAGCACGAATGGGTCGACTCGAAGAGCCGAGGAAAGACCACTCTTTAACATTATACCAGCGTAAAATAGCACCTTAATACTGCTGTGTTTCGTATGGTGAGTGTCTCTACACTCCGGAGACCCTTTTTACTGGATAAGAGACATTCCATCCTAGTCCTCATGGGTGACGACGCATCTGCATTTTGATTCTGTTAAAGTTACAGCCTATATACACGTCCCACTGCTGGGCACAGGCCTCCTCTCATTTCTGAGTGGGTTTGAGGGCAAGGAAAGGTACGCCGCGCTGCCCCAATGCGTGTTGGCGAACTTCACATGTCTTCGAAATATATTTTTTTTCTTATTTGTCAGACATGCAGGTTTTCTCACGATGTTTTCCTTCACCGCCGAGCACGTGGTAAATCAGCACTTAAAATTGTAATTAACAATTTCATTGGTGCCGGCGGGGTTCGAACCCGGGTTTCTCGCGTACTGTGACACTTACAGCGAGTGCTAACCATCTGAGCTACCACGGCTTTGAGGATAACGCAGGACAGAGCAGCCCCTTACCATCGGGTGGACTGTGTGCCCGTTAGTCCTATATAAAAAAAAAGTATTATTTAAAGTACGTTACCGAAGGTCGGTTAACCAATTTATCTAATTTTTACCAATACAGAAATCTTTCACTGTGGTTCCTTATAATCCGATGATAGTTGTATTCGGTTTATATTTTTAGTTTAGTTTATATTTTTAGTAATATAGTTACACTGAAAAGTTTGAATGTTCCGGTTTATGTGCAAAGTACAAATATTCAGGCGCATGCTCCCACAGTTAGTGGCGATCGATAGGTACTTTTTATTCACTGCTAAAGTGTAGTGCTAACTCATACCTACAAGGAAACTCGCATTCCTAGTTTATAGAGTATATAATTATTATTTTTGGAAGGGGCTAGAGGTTAAAATTCAGGGGTTGTAGCAGTGGTATAGTGGCCGTGGCGGAAGGAGAGAATTCTGTAGCGGCGGTTGGCGTCGGCCTCGCCGTGAATAGCAAGGTTCGTACCTACTTCCTTTAAGTTTTACTCATAAAACAAAATCACGATGAACTTCATTAACTTAATAGCGGCCTGCCCCGGCTTCGCATGGGTAGGATTTGTTAATGTGGTATCACTTATATTTTTTAAATAATCGTCAATGATAATTTATTTTGTCCATTTTTCAATTAGAAAAAAAGGCTCGAAGTTTTTTCGAATAAAATATCGCCTAGATCCACTCCTGACATTGCTTTCTGTCTGTTCGCGAAGTTTCATTACAATCGGTTCAACCATTCCGAAAATTAGCCCGGACAGACAGAGACAGACAGACAAACATTTTTTGTTTTGGCAAAAAGGTTATTCATGTCTTAATGACATGCAAATAACCCCCCAGCTCAACATAAGACAGTTATTTCGATATTACAGACAGACTCTTTAATTTTATTTATATGTATGTATACGTGTAGATATAATTTAAGTACTTTTATTTATCGAAGTCTAGAAATCAAAAAAATAGGTACTAATAATCGTTATACTTACAATATTAAATACGACATGATGATTTACATACATTTACCGCAATGCGGCAACGCAACGTTAGAGAATTAGGTAAGTGTGACAAACAAACAAAGCTCACCTGATGGTAAATGTACAAAATAAACCTGCTTGTGTATTGTGGCAATAAATGATTTAACCGTGTAGTGGCGGTTAAGAATATCCACTACCCCATATCTTCCCGTGGGTGTCGTAAAAGGCGACAAAGGGAAACAGGCAGGAGATGGGCAGCAGCATCTTCCTGATAATAGCCAAAATAACAATAAAAAAACTGCGGTTGCCAACCCGCTCGCTAAGCGTGGCAACTATGGCAATATACCCCCCATGAGCAATGACAATAATAAACGGCCCCCAGTCCCCGGCGGCCCCGCTATTCCTGGCTACGGTGGCGACCATGGTAACGGCGGGGCAGGGGGTGCTAAGAATCTCCGGTGGAGGTTCGGTTGCCACCTACGACGACTCGACCTGGCAACATACAACGTACGCACCCTGAGGACTGACGAGAAGATTGTGGAGCTGGAAGAAGAGATAGACAAGTTACGCTGGCATATTATAGGATTATCCGAAGTCCGAAGAGAGGGGGAGGACACGGTAATCCTCGAATCCGGCAACTTGCTCTATTACCGGGAGGGCGACCATCTGTCCCAAGGAGGTGTCGGATTTATCGTCCACAAGTCTCTCGTTAACAACGTTGTAAAGATTGAGAGTGTGTCGACGAGGGTTGCGTACCTTATACTCAGAATCACCAAACGGTATTTGCTGAAGGTCATACAGGTTTACGTGGTGCGTAAACCTGTATGACCTCGGCACACCCCGATCAGGAGGTGGAGGAAATGTATGAGGATATCTCTAGAGCCATGCATTCCTCCAAAACCCAATATACGGTGTTAATGGGAGACTTCAATGCAAAACTAGGCACAAGAGGGAACGGTGAGCTGAAAGTAGGGAAATTTGGAATAGGGTAACGGGATCCAAGGGGCCAGCAGTTGGCTGACTTCATGGAGAAAGAGGGACTCTTCATGATGAACTCTTTCTTCCAGAAGCGGCCCCACAGGAAGTGGACCTGGTCGAGCCCCGACGGTTCGACAAAAAATGAGATTGACTTCATTATGACGACCAGACGACAACTGTTCAGTGATGTCTCAGTGATCGCGAGGGTGAAAACCGGAAGCGATCACCGAACGGTTAGAGGCACACTGAACCTAAACGTTAAGTTAGAGAGGTCTCGTCTAATGAAGTCAACGCTCCATCCCCCTCGTGCTCTAATCCAAAGTCCCGAAACCTTTCAGCTCGAGTTACAAAACCGTTTTCAGTGCCTAGAAGACTGCAATGAAGTGGACGATTTGAATGACAAGCTCGTGGAAACTGTCCATGCGGTCGGAGCTAAGTTCTGCAAGACCCGCCGCAGAAGAACACAAAAACTCTCCGATCACACTCTTAATCTCATGGCTGTTAGACGGGAGATGAAGCTACATTCTTCAACAGATTTGACAGTATACAGGCAACTGAACAGACAGATCTCCAAATGCATGCGGCGGGACTTACGCAACTTCAATACAGCTCGTATTGAAGAAGCGATCGAGCGGAACCAAGGCTCCAAAGTCTTTGCCAGAGATCTGTCTGCCAGAAAGCGCCAACTGTCAAAGCTGAAGACAGAATGTGGCAGCATCGTTTCCGGGGCACCTGAGATTTTGAGTTGGATTGAGAGGTTCTATGGGCAGCTGTACACGTCATCGTTGGAGCCGCACGCAAGTGTGAATAACGATCCAAGAGCGAGTCTTATCCGACATTATTCCGATATTATCCCGGACGTGAGTCTAAACGAGATTAGAATGGCTCTCCAGCACCTTAAAAACGGCAAGGCCCCAGGCGAGGATGGAATTACAGCGGAGCTTCTGAAAGCGGGTGGAAAACCGGTACTTGAAGTCCTTCAGAAGCTGTTTAATTTCGTCCTCCATGGTGGCATTACACCGGAGGCGTGCAGCAGAAGTGCGGTGGTCTTGTTCTTCAAGAAAGGCGACAACGCCCTCTTGAAGAACTACAGACCGATTTCCCTTCTGAGCCGCGTCTACGTACTGTTTTCGAGAGTCATTACGAATCGTCTCGCGCGCAAATACGACTTCCAGCCTCCCGAACAAGCCGGTTTCCGAAAGGGCTTTAGCATCATAGACCACATACATACCCTTCGGCAAATTGTATAGAAGTCCGAGGAGTACAATTTGCCACTATGTCTGGCGTATGTGGACTATGAGAAAGCCTTTGATTCCGTCGAAATTTGGGCGGTGCTGCAGTCCCTTCAGCGGTGCCAAGTTGACTGTCGGTATATCGAAGTGTTGAAGTGCTTGTACAGTAGGGCTACGATGGCTATCCGAGTACAGAACCAGAGTATGAAACCTATCCAATTGCAGAGAGGTGTAAGACAGGGTGACGTCATATCCCCGAAACTCTTCACCGCTGCATTGGAAGACGTTTTCAAGCTTCTGGACTGGAAAGGATACGGTATCAACATCAATGGCGAGTACATCACTCACCTTCGATTTGCCGACGATATATTCCTTATGGCAGAATCGCTGGAGGACCTAAGCACTATGCTCAATGACCTCAATAGTGTTTCCCAACGGATAGGTCTTAAGATGAACATGGACAAAACAAAGATCATGTTTAATGTCCATATCACACCTATGCCGGTAGTTGTTGGGAACACTAAGCTCGAAGTTGTTGACGAGTATGTTTACCTGGGACAAATAGTCCGAATAGGTAAGTCCAACTTCGACCGAGAGGTCAATCGACGGATTCAACTCGGTTGGGCAGCGTTCGGGAAATTACGGCACATCTTCTCGTCAGGTATACCTCAAAACTTGAAAACGAGACTGTACACCCAGTGCGTGTTGCCAGTGATGACATACGGAACTGAGACGTGGTCCTTCACTGCTGGCCGGATGAGGAAGCTCAAGGTCGCTCAGCGAGCTATGGAGAGGGCTATGCTCGGAGTTTCTCTGCGTGATAAACTCAGAAATGAGGATATCCGCAGTAGAACTAGAGTGACCGACATAGCCCAACGGATTAGTAAGCTGAAGTGGCAATGGGCCGGCCATATAGCTCGAAGAACCGACAACCGATGGGGAAGAAAGGTTCTCGAGTGGCAGCCTCGTAACGGCAGGCGAAGTGTAGGGCGTCCCCCCACTAGATGGAGTGACGACCTGGTAAGATATGCAGGAAGTCGGTTGATGCAGGTGGCTCAGGACCGTGCTTTGTGGCATTCTTTGGGGGAGGCCTATGTTCAGCAGTGGACTTGTGAAGGGCTGTAATGATGATGATGATGATGAAATGAATTAAGTGATAGCTGTGACTCATATGGTCAAATACTCGTTTAGTTAAGTCTCGTAGTGTCTTAACAGCATCTCGAAATTGGGCATTAAATATCTACATCTGTACTCGACGCTGATGAAGAACATGGGTACCGGGATGAGGGTGCAAAGAAGATCAATTTCACGCATGCCTCTCTCGTGGAAGAAAAGTTTACACAGGAAAAGCAAAAAAAAATATTATCTTAATCTTGAGACTAGTAGGTTGTTATTCAAAATTGTTCAACTATTTTTCACAACTTCCATCATTAACAGTTGCCATGTCCTGACACGTAAAGTAAAAAATCAATATTCAATGCTTCATGTTGTCGTTCGAAAAAGTCAGGCCAATTTTTAGTTCCCCGCATGCAGCTGTGTAAATAGGGGTGACTTCGAGCTGACACAGTCAAACCAACTCTACTAAGAACGCCAATGTGCGGACGTGTTGGGAAAATGGTCTTCAGTTCTTGTCACCATGCGCACCATACGAAGCACAGCAGCATTATGTTACTATTCAGGTACTGGCAAGCGTGGGCTTTGTTCAAAACGGGGCGCGGCTCTACCACATAGATACCAAACACAAAAAAAAATCCGTGGTAAAATTTATACCACGGAATTTTGTTTTAATATTCCGTGAATTATTATACTCTAAATAAATTGATGTACGATGTATGTATGTATTTTTGTTTCCATGAAAAAAATTTTTTTAATTCAACAAACTTCAAACTGCCACTTGGCGGCAGATGCGTTGTCAATCCTGAGGACTAAAACGGAATTTATCAGAGTCTGTAATAAAGATAGTATAATAAAATACTGTCTTTATTACCTTTTAAATTGTGAAACGGTAACGGGGTACACTTCTGCTTGGTAGTAGAAATAGGTAAGTGTATAGTACCAACCAACAACGGCAGAAAAAGAAAAATTTTCGAAGCTATCACGTCCCTTTACTCGTAGCTGATCTTGTAGTTAATTACTAGCATTTTAGTTAGATAAAATACGTTCCTTCGAAGTTTATAATAAAATAAAATATTATAAAAAATTTATAGTGTCTCATAGAGTCACTAGTATTATAGTTTATTCCTGGCGAAGAAACATGTTTATTGTTTATCTCTAGAAGGTTGTTTAAATAAATTAGCTCAAAAATTTTAAAACTAAGAAAGACTTAACTAACTTTTTTTTTCTAAGTCATCCACAATGTAACGTTTGTTTTTATTAGTAATCTTATTGAAATTATTTATTTTTTATTTATTAATTAGTAATCTTATGATATTATTGTAATGTTTGTGTTTGTAATTCTTCTATAAACAAATATCAAATAATACTTTTCTTGAGCTATGGAACTAATGCTTTTTAAAATCTAAAATCTTTTATTAAAATGCTTATTGTCACTACTTTCCAGGTTTATCCAAGTCCGGGGGCGGCGCGGGGCGTCTGGGCGCTTCCGCAGCCGCCCCCATGCAACATGGCGGCCGAAGAGGCTCTGCCACCGTGTTCGCCGCTGTCTCCAGATACACCAGCTGCCCCACCTCGAATCACAGCCAATTTTAACCATCTCTCCGATCTCCATCATCTGATTTTCGAGGCTGTGCGATCTGGGTACCTTTTTAAATTAAACAAAATAAAAATACAATAATAATATTAATTATAAGCGTGATGATAAGTGGATGCTGTGGCCCGTGGACACCTACATCCATCATCAATTAGGAATCAAAATGCAAATGCGTTATCACCCTGAGACCGAAGATAGATTGCCTCGATACCAGTAAAAAGGATCTCTGGTTTTCTACACTCACCATACGAAACATAGCATCAGTCATTGGGTAATAATGTACTACGTACGTAGTACATTATAACTCAATGGTAGCAGTTTACTGTGTAAAATATGTAGAACTTAATGCTTAAAAGCGTGGATAAATCACGTCCTAACAGAATATTACATAGGTACGCCGGATTAGTCGAACCATTCGCTCTACTTAATCCATACACCTGCGGAGGATAAACCAACAGACTTTGGCGTAAGTCCTACGACCTAGAAATTTCTGCTGCGCAAATTAGAGTGACAGGATTATGTGATATGTTTTTCTTTTTTATCAAATTCAAAATCATCATCAAAAACTTATATAATAGTATATTGCTGGATATGGGCCTTCAACGGGGGAGATCAGCGATGAACAGTAACGTTGTGACAAGCTATCGGTATCGGTAAACAGACTAGTAACCAAAAGAGAAGCTATGGTTGAGCGTGTGAATCTTTCACTACAGGCGGTCTCCGAATGGGGCGATGCCAATCCAAAACACGGGCTTGTCTCTTCCCAGTAAACCAGCCAGCTCACCTTAGCTCCGTACTTAAATGTATTATTGAAATAAACCGACCACATTCAGTTGCTGGGGATTGAGGTTTCTTCGCACCCGAACTTTGGGCGGTTCATTGAATTCAAAGCTAAAGTAGCTGCAAGAAAGTTAGGTGTTCTCGCAAAGATGCGACGATAGTACTTTACTTCAGGACAGTTGCTTACACTATATAAAGCGCATGTCCAGTCGTGCATGGAATAATACTACAGTATAAAATCTAGCGGCTTTGGGCTCAGTGAAAAGGCGTGCTAAGAGTCTTTGTTGATATTCGTATGGTCAAAACCAATGTTATTAGGCTCGAGCACAGACTTTCCATCCGATTACAATGTGGATATCTTCAAGGCAAGAGTAAAGGCTCTTCTAGCTCTCATTTCAGAACGGTTTACCATATTTGCCAGCATCACCACTTACCATCAAGTAGGACAGAAGTCAAGCACTGGCTTATATTATTAAAATAAAATTTTAAAATATTTACACGCAGCAATAAAACAACAGGTTTTTATAAGCAGAAATTCGAATTTTAATCAGTATCATTATAGTTTAATTGTAATAAATAATGTATACGAGTATTTGAAAGTAGAATAAAGTAAAGTATCTAATTTTAAATTACCCATTTGGTTCATTAACAATGGCCTCAAATTATAACTAAAAAGGGCGAAGAAACAGGTCCGAACTAAGGTAGATAACTAATTTAAATTTCAGCGAAGTATCGGAGATCGAAAATCTGGTGGAGAAGTTAGGAGTGGAGGTGTTAAGTGCTCGTGACCAGCACGGCTATACACCAGCTCATTGGGCAGCTTTAGATGGAAGCGTTGCTGTCATGCGATACCTGGTGGAGCGCGGTGCCCCTATCGATCTCTCATGTTTAGGGACACAGGTAAAAGTTTCAGCAACATGTACGTTTGAATCTCTTATCGACTTATTCACACGTAGAACAACACGGACCACCGGCGCGGCGGACCGGAAAAGAGTAGCCATTCCGTTTTTTCCCGATACAGAACTGTCAGTCTTTTTTGCGGGGGGAAAACTGCGCACACAAAAACGTCACTCCGAAACTCACACATAACAATTAAAACACTATACTAACAATTTCACACACACATAAATACATTAAAACACTATCGCTCGGTGACAACTTGGATACAGACTCGGAGCAGTCGCTCGACCGATCCGCATATTGCATGAGGACGAGCAGCCTGTATTGGTACACAAAACAGAAACAACACGACCGTTATTGTTGTAATTTTTAAGTTTAAAAAAATTATGTAGCAATAATGAGATTAAAACCTACTTATATATGAAAGGGACATATTTTTGTCAATATGACGTGACAGATCTCTTTTTGCAGCAAATAACTGAACAATTCGGCATTTTTGTAGGACGTCGATTCAGCCGCGTAACTAGAATTAGTCAAGTGATATATTATTATTGTACGCATGCTTATGACATATTTTGACAAAGGGGAACGCCTGCGTATGGCTACTTCCTCCGGTCCGCCGGTGGCCCGTGTTGCTCTATGTATTCGCACGATCACCTCATTATGCATTAAAGCCTTTATAAATATTATATTACTAGACGTAATAGGGTTTTCCATATTTTGGAGGAGTAAGTGCAATCAAAGATTAGAAAAATAGGGTGCCGCGCTTTACTGACGAATTGATATTGTTCTGCTCTTGGACGAATTGTTCGGTTCTAGTATTTCTTTTAGTTTTTTTTTTTTATTTATTTATTTGATAATAATTTGACAATATTTAAATTGATATTTTACGGCATAAACATAAGCTATACAGCTTTACCGTATACCGATATTATTTTTATTAGATTATATTTTTATAACATGCATAAAATGGGGTCTCACGTCATTTGAAACTTTCCAGTCGATAACAGCTTTGTTTTAGGCAATTCATTATCGTTTTAACACTATTATAAATGCTATGGCCAAATATACTTATTAGTTTTATTTTTGAAAAGTTTTGTAGAGGCTTATCTGAATTAAAATGAAACACACTCCTAATAACGTTTCAGGGGCCAAGACCGATTCATTGGGCTTGTCGCAAGGGACATGCATCGGTCGTGCAAGTGCTGTTACAGTGTGGTGTCGCAGTAAATGCAGCTGATTTCAAGGGTAAAATTTATTTCCTTTTCTATTTGCTTTTATGAAAATTTAACCAAATTAATCATAAAATATTTTTACATGTAATGTTAGGTAGCAAGGCAATCATGTTAAATATCGCATTATTCGGTTCGTTCGTTTCACGGTGTTACCAAAATTTCAAGCTACTGACTTATGACCCACGACATGGGGAAAATATAACTTTACTATCAATTTCAGGACTAACTCCTCTAATGACGGCATGCATGTATGGAAAAACTGCTACGGCAGCATATCTTCTTGGCATGGGAGCAGCTACCAGGCTGTCAGACATTAATGGAGATACCGCCATGCACTGGGCTGCATACAAAGGACATGCGGATTTAGTGCGCTTGTTGATTTACTCAGGCGTTCCCCTGCATTGTACAGATAACTTTGGTTCTACTCCGCTCCATTTGGCTTGCCTGTCTGGGAATCTCACTTGTGTCAGACTACTTTGTGAAAAGGTAACCTATTATATTTCTATTTATATTGATTGTTAACAGAGTTAATTTCACAAATTTATCGCTTGAAAAGACGTGACAGATAATCGCTTTTACCCGACTGCCCCAGAAGGAGGTGGTAATGTTTTTCGAGTGTATGTGTGTATGTCAACTTCTTTGGCACTTTCCGTACCATAAGCGGCTTGATGGATTTTAACATAAGAGATGTCGTTATATTCGATGAATTATCTAATAGCGGCATTAGACAATTACAAAATTAAGTAATAATTAATATTACAAATAAATTTGATGTTACAGGTGAAAGCGGAATTGGAACCCCGCGATAAAAACGGAAAGACGCCATTGATGCTCGCGCAAAGCCATCGTCACGCTGAGGTTGTGAAATTGTTACAAAAGGAAATGAAGAGAAAGTCCCACTGGATGCCCCCACTCTCCGAGCTCTGGGCTCTGTTATTTGGAGGTGCTGGAGACTCGAAAGGGCCGCTTTTGTTCTTTTTGGTCTCCGTTCTTTTGTGGGGATATCCAATGTACATAATTAGGGTAAGCATTTTTTTTAAATGACAAATTAACTTAAAAATATATTTTAATCAATAAAGTGTCTTTGTCATAAAGATAATACATATTGATGTCGTCACGTTATGTTTTAGTGTATTCCTTTGACCTGGAACACGTTACGTCTTTCTCATTACTTCTTTCTCTACTGGAACGCCATAATGTGGATAAGTTGGGTGATAGCCAATCGGCGTGATCCCGGCTATATCCCGCAGAACTCCGAGACATATTACCGTGCTATAAGGCAGATACCCTACTACGATAAATGGAAGAAGAGAAATGTCATTTTGTCACGTTTGTGTCACACTTGTAGATGCCTAAGACCTCTAAGGTAAATATTTACATTTTAAAAATATACTCAAAAATTTTATATTTCATGTACTTAATTTAATTATTAATTCTATCATAATTCATTATTTTTATAAGCTATTTGCTCACGGGTGATTTCTGGATCTAGACATCAGCGTTTCACAATTCACATTTGGAGCCATAGGTACCGTGTCCAATTGTGAATTCAAACCATCCAGAAAGTCACTCAACACACAAAAAGTTTATCAAAATCGGCCCAACCGTTTTCGAGTTTTTGCGGTACACATTAAATTATATACCTAGTCAGGTCATAAGTATTGTCACACAGTAAAAACTTTTCTTTTAGAATGCTGGCCACAAAAAAGTTTATTGAATTCGAATTCCGAATTGTTCATGAAAATAAAACTGTATATTTTTTTAGAATTTTACTCATTTTTAAATATGGAGTGGACGCTTAAAGAAGACCGTGTTGCAGATATTGCGTTGCGTCGTTGCGGTTACGCACCAATTCAAATTTTTGACATGCTGAAAAATTTGAATATAACCTAAAGATTCGTTTATCGTACCATCAAACGATACAATGAAGACTCTAGTGTAGATCACAGGTCAAGAAGTGGTCGCCCTCGGTCTGTTAGGACTCCAACAGTGATAAAAGCTGTGAAGGCGCGAATTCAAAGAAATCCCAAACGTAAGCAGAAACTGTTCGCCCTTCAGATGGGGTTAAGCAGAACCACGGTGAAAAGGGTGTTAAATGAAGACTTAGGGCTTCGGGCATATCGAAGAAAAACAGCACATCATTTGAATGCTCGTCTGAAAGTCGAATGAAAGGTCGAATGGACCTGAGACTGAAGAGATGCCGCGCTTTGTTGAAGCGGTACGCGGGAAAAAAATATCGGGAAATTCTTTTTTCGGATGAAAAATTTTTTACCGTAGAAGAGAGCTACAACAAATAAAATGATAAGGTGTACGCACACAGTAGTGAAGAAGCGAGCAACCGTATTCCGCGTGTCCAACGAGGTCATTTTCCATCCTCGCTCATGGTATGTTTGGGAGTTTCTTATAGGGGCTTAACAGAGGTACATTTTTGTGAGAAAGGTGTAAAAACAAATGCAGTTGTGTATCAAAATACAGTCCTGACGAACCTTGTGGAACCTGTTTCTCATACCATGTTCAATAACAGGCACTGGGTATTCCAACAAGATTCGGCGCCAGCTCATAGAGCGAAGAGCACACAAGACTGGCTGGCGGCGCGTGAAATCGACTTCATCTGGCACGAAGACTGGCCCTCCTCCAGTCCAGATTTGAATCCGTTAGATTACAAGATATGGCAACACTTGGAGGAAAAGGCGTGCTCAACGCCTCATCCCAATTTGGAGTCACTCAAGACATCCTTGATTAAGGCAGCCGCCGATATTGACATGGACCTCGTTCGTGCTGCGATAGACGACTGGCCGCGCAGATTGAAGGCCTGTATTCAAAATCACGGAGGTCATTTTGAATAAACTTTAGTGTCATAAGAATCTATGTTTTGTTAAGTTCAATTTGGTATATAAATGGTTACATAATGAATAAACTTGTTTCAATTATTTTATATTAAACATGTGACAGAATTTATGACCTGACTAGGTATATGTATGTATAGAGATGTTAGTACATTATAAATTATTATTTGTAAAGTTCCATACCACAAAAGAAAAAAAAACGGATAACTTATAGGATCATTTTGTAGTCCATCCTTCTGTCTGTCAGTCAGGATCCTTTTTCTTTGGCACGGGTAGAGGTATCAAGTTGAAATTAATATCAAATACTAAGGTCTACGTCCCTTGATGGTGTAAAATGTTCTGCGTCAACGCGATCAAAAGATACGGTCATTTGTCACTATAGGATAGGGTCCCGTTGGCCTAGAGTCCTAGACCATGAAATTTGGTAAGAAGCAAGGTTTCCCAGCACAAGTAAAAGAGAAATCCGAAAATCTGTAGTTTGTCCTTCAATCCGACTGACCTTTTCGTGAGAACAATGTTCGGTTTCTACATTTTTACCTCGAATCCAGATTGGATAAACTATATATATATATATATATAATTGAATTTATACAGAATCCACAGGGCGCGAATCCTACTCGCACTTGTCCAGAATATTTTATATTAAAATTATTAAATTATTAATATTAAATAATTATTATATATTAAAATAGTCCCGCTGGATTTCTTGCTGGTTTTTCCCAGGACAAGATTTGTTCCGAACCAGTAGGAAAAATCATAAATTACTTTTTTTATAGCATCGAGTGACAAACGAGCGCCACAGTCCACCTGATGGTAAGTGGTTGCTGTGGCCCATAGACATCTACATCTATCCTCGTTTGCGAATCAAAATGCAGATGCGTTGTCACTCGCGAGGACTAAGATGGAATGCCTCTTATCCAGTAAAAAGGGTCTCCGGTTCTCTACACTCGCCATACAAAACACAGCAGTGTTAAGCTGCTATTTTATGGTGGTATTCTGTGAGAGCGTGGTCCTTCCCCGGTCGAGCCGACCCATTCGTGCTACAACTATACTACTAATATAGCTGCAGCATGGCTCTGACTTTCAATAAGTATTACTTGTTATTTATATTAAATAATAAAATCCATTCTATTCAATTTTAATAGAGCTGTAGTATAGAGCAGGGCGATCGCTCACCGTCAAATAGTACGCGACAATTTTACGGTAATAATTTTTCAACAAATATTATGTGTGAAAAAATCTGACGTGAGCAACCTGAATTCGTACATGGTTCGTACCGAGTATCGACCAGGTCATTATTTGTGTGTAGAGTGAAAGAGCTAGCATATTTAGAGACTGTGGGGCATTCTATCTTAGTGCTTAGTGGGTCACAATTGAACTTTATTCATGGTAGAGCCAAGCTGTAGCTATATTATGGTTGAAGCACGAATGGGTCGTCTCGACCGGGTTAGGACCACACTTTCAAAGAATCCCAGCGTAAAATAGCAGTTTTATGCTGCTGTTTCGTATGGTGACTGTAAAGAATCGGCGACCCTTTTTACTGGAAACGAGGCATTTCATCTTAGTTCTCAGGAGTGATAACGCATCTGCATTTTGATTCTTAATCGAGGATAAATGTAGATGTTTATGGGCCACAGCATTCACTTACCATCAGATCAGTCTAGTGCTTATTTGTCTCCTTAATTCTATTAAAAAAAATTGAACAACTAAAACCTTTTGTCAATAGACTGGAGTGGGCACTTACCGTCAGGTGGTCTATTATTAGCGCATTTGTCACTAATTTAAAAATGCCTATTTATTTATATATGAGAAAAGGGCTCCAAATCAAATCTAATGTAATGGCGGGGACGATCTTGAGCATGTTCACACACTGCAGACTTCCTGGAACGTCGGTGCTTCACGTCAGCTGTATTTAATGTGTAGTTCTCGCGTAAATATAAGAAATTCTTTAATCTATACATATAATAAAAATGTAAATAGCAGATGTCTGTACATTTTATATTTTTGTAATAAAAGTGATTGATAGGTACTAAAAATAAGTAAATAAATACATTTCTACCATTTTTAGATTTTTCTGTCTGTCTGTCTTTCTGTCTGTCTGTCTTTCTGTCTGTCTGTCTGTTTGTTTGTTAACGTATCACGTATAAAGTACTAATTTATATCATAAGAATAGTTAAGGAAATTATTAAGTGTATATTCAGGTTACATTTAGTCTTTATTTCATTAAAATTGGTTAATTCCATCAAAAGTTATGACAAATATTCTGAAGTATGGGTACTAAGTATAGGTACGAATTTGTTCAATAGTGGCGTTGGATGAGTCATCAAGTACATTTTAAAATTAATATCATATTATAATTCATAATTAAATGATATAAAATAATGTTCTATAATGATATAATTATATCTAAAACGCAGTAAACAAAAGTATTACATAAAGAACGTAATAAATATATACAAAATATATTAACCTTATTATCTAAACTAAATTAAAGTACAATAGTTAACCAATTTCATCGATAGATGGTGGTGTGGCAAAAATGTGATACAAAAGGCAGGTTAAAATTTTTGAAATCAAGTTCATTTAATCTTTGTTTTATTGAAATTGGTTAATTCTATCGAAAGTTATGATTATTATTTTGAAATGTAGGTTCGAATTTGTTTAATGGCGCCACAAAATCTCAGAAATAGTAATAAAAAGATTCATGTGTAAAAAAAAACGTTCTATTATAATATATTTCGTATCGTTCTATTATAGTACTTAAAACACAGTAAAAAATATGTATTCCTTAAATTTAAAAAGAATGTTTTCTCACAAAGAACGTAATAGATGGCGTTGTACAAATTACAACCTTTTCTGAATTGCGGTGTTAAGATTTTTCACAGGTGAATCGTATTGAGACTCACTGAAAGTCTGACGAAGGGTGTAGGTTCCAAAAACCAGAAAAAAGAGATGTTGAAATATTCAACTCGACTAAAAGTAGCTAAATTGCAATAAATGTCGTGATAGTGATATTGTTTTATACCCAGAATCCCTCTAATACCAAATAACTTTCCTTTCAGTTTTAAGTAAAGTAAAGTTGCAGCCTATTTACGTCCCACAGCTGGGCACAGGCCTCCTCTCATTTCTGAGAGGGTTTTAGGGCAAGGAAATGTCCACCGCGCTGCCCCAATACGTGTTGCCGAACTTCACATGTCATCGAAATATTTTTTTTATTACTCAGACATGCAGGTTTCCTTACGATGTTTTCCTTCACCGCCGAGCACGTGGTAAATGAGTACTTAAAATTGCAATTAACAATTTAATTGGTGCCGACGGGGATCGAACCCGAGTTGCTCGAGTACTGTAAAGCTTACAGCGAGCGCTAACCATCTGAGCTACCACGGCTCAGGCTTCAGTTTCAAGATAGGGATAATAACACCGATGATGACATCGATGTTCGATGTTTAGGCTACTCAAAACATCGATGTTGACCATTATCGATGGTTTTTGTATATGTGTAGATACTTACACATTGTTTCAAAATTATGTGGGTATACACAGCAAGGGAAAAGTAACAATTAACTTGAATATCAATTTACGTAGAATAGTTATTATGCGACAACCGACAACGACACTACAAAATAAAGCGAAAGCAGTGACCATTGTGACATTACAGGAGACACTTGACAATTAAGTTTGACTCACCATACTGACATTTTTTTAGGTTAACGATGCGTTCAGAAATTCTGAATTATACAAAATTTTTAATCTTAAGAGCAGATGCAATATTTAGTTATATTGATTTCGCGAGTTCTCATTGTTTGCAAGTTCCCAATTATCGATTATGGGTTCATTGACGTCGATGTTTCGATGTTTGACATATGTCAACATCGATGTTAAAACATCGAAGTTTTAATTTTTAACATCAATGATCATCTAACATCCCTATTTTAAGTGTGTTTCCCACTCAGCGTGTGTTATACGACGATCGTAAATAAAGCGCAAGGTCAAACTTTACGCGTTGCAGGAGTGGACCTCAGTACTGATTGTTTTGCACATGGCCAACTCTATGTTTGTTTTTCCCGCGTTAGTAGTCCCCGTAATCTTTTTCTGTACGCCCCGGCTAAGTCTACTTCTATCGTCGTTTACACAGAAGCTCTATCATAAACGACTTAGAACTTTGAGCATATCGATTTATTTTGTTACCACTTATTCATACAGTAATGATATAAATCGTTTAATATTCTCTTACCCTAAACGTCAAATTCTTTAAGTAAAACCTATATTCGCGAGCTACGCCGCGGGCACAGCTAGTTATTAATATAAACTTTACTAAATTCACAGAGCAAAACACTGTCGCATCTGCAAGCGTTGCGTGGCGTATTTCGATCATCACTGCCCATTTATATACAACTGCATTGGTGTGCGGAATCGTATGTGGTTCTTCTTGTTCGTGATGAGCGTCGCTATCAACTGTACCCTTTCAATATATTTTGCTTGCTATTGCCTTTTTCTGGAGGGATTCGGACTGCTATACATGCTGGGACTCCTGGAAGCAATTACGTTCTGTGCTCTCGGCTGGATCCTAACCTGTACATCTGTAAGTTTTTCAAGACTGTATTGGAAATTATTTACAATTCATTCTCATCAGCCCTTAAATATGTTACTGCCATTTCATGTTGAGAAGATATGACGGAATCACCCTTGGTAAACTTTAGACTTCCATGGAACTGTAGATTTTATTACACTACTAGCTGTTCCCCGCGACATCGCCCGCGTGTAATTTAGGGTTTTAATCTTGTTGTGCGGAACCCTAATTATTTTTCTAAAATATAAGTAGCCTAAATTACTCCTTATAATATGAGCTATCTAGCAGTGAAAGTCACGTCAAAATCGGTCCAGCCGTTTCGGAGATTAGCCGAAACAAATAAACAGACAGTCAAAAATTAAAAAAAATTGTATTTTTGTTTTACGTACCGTATATACTTTTATATGCAATTAGTAAAAGGCTGTTATTTTGACATTACAAACAAACACTTCAATTTTATTTACTTGTATAGATGAAAGTCATGTTTTTGAAAGTAATGATTTTTATATGTATAGACTACACCACTTTTTTATGCTTAAAGCTATATTAAACTCGTACGTAGTGTAGTAAAATTACAGAATATAAATTATAGCATCTCACAGTTGGGCACAAGCCTCCTCTCATTTCCCTGAGGGTTGTAAGTGATTAGTACGTTGCGCTGCTAAAATGCCTGTTGGCGGACTTCACATGTCCTATATAGAAATATTTTATTGCTCAGTTATGCAGGTTTTCAAACGATATTTTCCTTCACCGCCAAGAACGTGGTAAATCAGCACTAAATTGTAAATTAACAATTCCACTGGTGCCGGTGGGGATCAAACTAGGGTTGCTCGCGTACAGTCAAAATAAAGTACCGCAAGCGCTTAGGGTCTAGTTTCTTGGAGGTGGAAAAAATTAAGCTTCAAAGTCCAAGGCAGTCAAAAGATACCGCTATTTATGTATTTTGATATTCACAAACTCAACATTTCCTGTTGATCTAGAATCATGAAATTCGGCAAGAAGTGAAGCAAAAAAAATCCGAAAATCATTAAATTTAGTTACAGCATGTAAAAAAAAATATTTGTTTACAATTACAGACCAACACTTATAGTTAAAAGTTGGAACTGGTTTTATGGTGTATGATGTACGATGTCTCCCTGTAAGGGAGAACATTTTTAGGTTCCGAACCTTTTCGTTTTTATTAACTTATAAGCCAGCGTTTGACTACAATCCCACCTGCTGGTAAGCAATGATTAAAATCTAGATTACAAATCGTGAATCGTAAGAACAATGTTTGGTGCTTTTTTTTTATAGGAGAGGGGGCAAACGAACATGCGGCTCACCTGATGGTAAGTGACTACCGCCGCCCATGAACAACTGCAACACCAGGGAGGGAATTGCAGATGCGTTGCCGGCCTTTTAAAAAGGAGTACGCTCTTTTCTTGAAGGTCCCTATGTCGTATCGGTCCGGAAAAATCGCTGATGGTAATCGATTCCACAAGGAAGTCGTGCGAGGAAGAAAACATCTTCTAAATCGCACAGTGGTGGACCGCCAATCATCCAGATGGTGTGGATGGTATCGGGAGCTCTGCCGCGATGTGCGTTCATGAAATTTGGCGGCTGGGATTAATCCGAACAATTCCTCAGAGCACTCCCCATGGTAGATGCGAAAGAAAATGCAAAGGGATGCAACATCTCTTTGCAGTGCCAATGAATCGAACCGATCTGAACCGAAACTGAGGAGATACGACAAAGGGGTTCTTTTTAGCGGTAAACGCGCAAACTTGTGTCTTCTGAGGATTAAACTGGACTAGATTTAGTCACCCCCAATCCGAGACTTTGTTCAGCGAAGACTCGACTTCAGACACAAGTTTGTTCCGGTACTCGGCGATGTTTTCCCGAGAAATATTGGCACGGCCGGTGTATAGAGTATCACCAGTGCTGTCATCTGCATAGCAATTAATGTTACCAGTTAGCAACATATCGTTGATATGCAGAAGGAACAGCGTTGGTGATAGCACACAGCCTTGTGGAACACCAGCGTTAATAGGCTTGTAGTCAGAACATGCACCGTCTACAACGACCTTGATGCTCCGATCTGCAAGGAAGCTGGTGATCCAATTGCACAATTTCTCACGAAGCCCATAGGAAGGGAGCTTCGAAAGAAGCGCTTTGTGCCAAACCCGATCGAAGGCCTTCGCAATGTCCAAACTAACGGCCAACGCCTCCCCCTTGGACTCTACTGCCTCCGCCCATCTATGGGTCAGGTAGACCAGAAGATCACCAGCTGATCGACCCCGACGAAAACCGTATTGGCGGTCACTAATCAGCTGGTGATCCTCAAGGTATCGGATGAGCTGGCAGTTAATAATGGATTCCATTATTTTGGAGAACAAGGAGGTGATCGCGATAGGCCTATAGTTGGACGGGTCTAAGCGGTCGCCTTTTTTAGGGATCGGATGGACAAAAGCTGTCTTCCATGAATTCGGGACTACGCCTTGGGAGTAGGAGTACCGGAAAAGACGCGTTAGGACCGGTGCCAACTCCGGAGCACACGTCCTCAGCACAAGCGCTGTGAGAACAGCACATCCGGCATGGAGCACTCACACCGCGGGATGGTCGGCGGTGTTTTCCCCCCGTCATCAAGAGTCAAGTTGGACGCAGAAAGGGAGCCTAAAAGGTCAGCTTTGTCTTTTGCGTCTTGGGCCAGTGAGTCGTCCTCCCTGTGCAGAGATGGTAGTGATGGCTTACAGAAATTCCTTTGGACAGCCTTGGCGAGAGACCAGAATGCACGGGTTTCCGAAGGAAGGCGAACTAGTTTCTCACCAATTCTGCCTATGTGCTCTGACTTTGCCTTGGCAATAACTCTTTTGAAGGACCTGGAGGCGAAGTTATACTTCTTTTTAAGTGTGCTGGTGTTTACATCCCGAGTCGCCGAAGCCGCAGCCCAGGCTTGATAACACTCCTGCTTACTGCGTAATGCAGTCTTACAGGAGCGACCAAACCAAGGCTGAGATCTGCCTCCGATGGGTACCACAGATGATGGAATAAATAGTTCCATTCCCTGTAGCACCACATCAGTGACAGAGTCAGCAACAGCGCTGGGATCATCCGGCGAGAAGCAAACCCGCCCCCATGGGTAGGATGCAAAGAAAGACCGCATTACATCCCAATCCGCCGACCTGTAATGCCAAACACGGCGGCAACCTGCAGAATGCAACCGCGAAGGGAGCGTGAGTGGCACCACACTCCGGATCAGACAATGGTCCGAAGAGCCGAGAGGGGCATCGACGGAAACCTGATATCCGTCCGGATGAGAGGGCAGCAGAAGGTCCAGCAGGGAAGGTGTATGATCCTCCAGATCTGGAATCCGCGTTGGCGAAGTAACCAGTTGTGTCAGACCAATGCCAAGGCAAAGTCATAAACAGATCTTCCCGCATGATCGGTTAAACGTGAACCGAGCCATTCGGCGTGGTGGGCGTTAAAATCGCCAAGGATCACGATCTCTGCGGATGGAACCTGTTGTAGCAAGGAATCTGTAGCCATTTGGACGTGGTCGATGAGTCGGTCTGTTTCGGCATTACCGCTATGGGACCTATAGAGGTAGACGCACGAATGGTCGTCGCTGTCTACGCGTAGCCAAAGGATGGACAGGTCCGAACCTTCAAGACTGCCGAGGCGTCGAGAACAGATCTCCTCTCTGACATACACGCAAACTCCAGCCCGAGGCACAAAGGAGTGCTCCAATTTGTACCCCGGGTAGGAGAGATACGAAATATCAGCCGGAGAGGAAACCTGCGTCTCGGTCAGAAAGAGCAAGGCCGGCTTCGCCGTCTCGAGATGGTAGTGGACGGCATTTAGGTTAGAGTGAAGTCCCCTGATGTTGCAGAAATTCACGGATAGCGTGGCAGGGGTCGCCTTGATATTGTTGCTCAGTTTGCCCCGAGCAGTTTTTTTGAGCGGAATTTTGCGTGGCTCTACCACCATTGTGCTTATACTCGTATTACCTATAATTTTCGGGACGTACGATCTATCAAGACTTGATAATCAAGTAGCCCTCAAGGCGGGGCGCTAGTCTTACTTGCATTGGTCCGGTTTTGTTTGAGATATTATGTATTTTACTGCATTTTGAATTTTTGGAAAAAATACTACTTATTGTTTATCAGATACTACATGTTCTTCTAAGACATATTATAACATTTAATATTAATATTTGCATACGCCGCAAGTATATTGCAACAAGCATTAGTTACACTTATGTACATAACCATTACAGAATGCTGTTATTTTTCAGATTCTACATGCCTGCATGAACTTAACGACAAATGAAATGTTTAACTACAAAAGGTATCCTTACTTGAGGGACAAGAGGGGTCGTTACCAGAATCCATTTTCAAGAGGGCCGATTATGAATCTAATCGAATTTTTCGTGTGCCTTCCTGACAAATGCGACGAACAGGATTTCTTCTACGAGGAGAGTATATGATACGAAGTGCGCTGACAAAGCGACTCGAGCCTGTTTCGGAAACGAAATAAGAACGCCGTCGTTCTGTCCAGACAGGCTCCTCATTCGTGTAAAAATGCTAAAACTAAATATGCTGTTTGATAGTGTAATTTCAAAACATAAAGTGCGCTTTGTTCTTATTTTTCTTAACAATTTAGTTTCGTAATATAGAGTATTACACGGGTCTTGAGTCAATGTTCAGTTTATAACCTAATTATCCTAGGAGAGTTTCTGGACAATATTTGCTTTTAGTTTTAATGCAGTCTAGTGGTGGTGTAAGAGGACCCACTTATCCATTACATCCCGTGAGTTTTTCTGATAACAATCGCGGCAAAATTCGGAAAATTTTACCCCCCCCCCTCTCATCATCTCATCTCATAAGTCTGTAATAAATTAAAAAGGATTAGAATCACTAATCATCCATAGCACTGTTGGTAATATTTATAAAGTACCGAATATCATCTGGATAATTATGACATTCGGTACTATGATATGTGATATCGATAATATTCTGTACTACAAATAATTATTGTATTGATTGTTAATTATTCAACAATTAAAAATGTTTTATTATGTATTGTGTATAAAGTAATTTGTTTTTGAAATTTTATTTGTAAGTGAGTGCGATTTTTGGAAGTCCTCAACGTGTTTCCACGTTTTAGAAGAATGTCCATAGTAGGTACATAACGAACTAAAGGGATAAGATGTGTATGTGGATGTTCCAATGTGTGAAAGAACATATTTTGTTTGAAACATTAGGAAAAACTTTACAGCATTTGCGTTCACTGAAAATACAAAAGCTATAGTACTAATCGTCCAACCTAATTTTATTCAGTACGAAACTTCAAAAAGACGAACTTGTTAATTTTTGCTTAGATTCGATTTAGTAGTAAAATAAATCTCTAATTTGCAGGCATTAAATGGAAAATTGACAGTAGGTAAAAAATAAATAAATAAATCAATAATCATCGAATTTGAATTTGATAGTATGACAGACAGACAGAGTATGGGTATAATGACACTATCTAAATTCACCATTTTTATTAGATATTTTTATTCTATAAGTTATGATTGGTAGCTGCAGCTATAATTGATTTGATTGCTTAATAATTTTAATAATAAATATTCAACACTTCACACTACCAAAATATAGATGGGAAAAATACCAGTCCTCGTTTAGACAATCTTTTGAAATTAACCTTAAATATTATAGGAATATCAGGATGTTGCATAGAAATAAAACACTATTTTTCTCAGTCTCAGTATAATGTGAATTTATAGCTGACACAAGCAAGTACATTATTGTTATAATGTCATAAAGCGCATAGTTTATTATTCTACTCCTAAGGAACATAAAAAATCAACATTAAACACAATCAAATCAAAGCTTCTACATTCTAATTACCCTCTTAAATATATCACAATGATTTTATAAATCGTAAGTAACGATTGTTTTATAAGGAAAGAATATGTAACTAAAAAATTATCCAAGCTTGAATATTGTCTTTAGATTCACTAAGCTTCATAAATAAAAATAAATAAGAATTAACTGCAAAACTATGTCGCATTAAAATAAAAAAAATGTTAGTCAAATTAATAATAATTGACCGATTATAAGTAAGCAAATAAGAAACAAATAGCTTTATTTAAATTAAATACCAATTGTACGCACTTATTTTTGTAAAAATAAACAAATAAATTACAATATTATGTAAGTAGTGTTTCCTTTCAAACTTGAGTTATTGTTGTTTTTGGTCTTATATGTTTATCACTTTAGGCTGATTATCAATCGTCACATAAAAGTTATCCATCAAATAAATTATAAGATGACAAAATATAAAAGTGAAACCATTGAGCTGATTCGTGATTTGTAATTAGTTTATGTTTTATTTTATCCTATGAATAACTTTCATCAGACCATTGAGAAATGGGCCTCTAAACTAATAGCTAATATAATGATATGATGCAATTAGTAAAAACTAAAGCAACGACACAATATTTAACGACATTTAAGTTGGTGCTATTTAGAAGACAGTTTAAATTTAGTTTGACCAGCCTCAATTGCATTAAATAACAACTACATTAGTTACGTAATAATATCTGTAGTGAATCTAAGAAAAAGTAACGCAATACGAGAAAACATAAAAACAATAACTAAGCTGGTTATAACTTAACAACACATAAATAAATTTTAATACTGTCTTTAGGCACCGACACTGCTGAATCTATGAAAGCTATCATGACTGGAAATAACTGGTAATCTACTTCATTATACAATGCCACATGGCAACATTAAGTAGAAGGTAAAAAAAATATTATTTATTACTCATTGACATAAAATGCAATAAGTCATTACACAAACTCTGTCTCTAAAATGCTTAACTTGCTAGACATTTAAGTGCTTTGCTTCAAACATGTATTGAGTATGTTAAGTGTCTTTCTTATATACGTTAAACTATATTAACGACATTATATGTCCAGATCTTTTAAAAGATCAAATTTAGTGGCTAAATTTTTTTTTTACAAAATATTTTGGTAGTATTCAGAAAAGTTAGAAGGGATATTGTGCTAAAAAGAACAGTTTCTGAAGTTAAACTAATCATCCTTAGGATTAATTCTAATAGCAGCATCCATCTCGTCCTTCGAGTGGTCCTTGTCACCCCAGCCCCAAAGGTGATGTGACCCATCGCCAGTGCGCTTCACTCTATTGCGGACTATCTCATCGGACACAGTTTTCAGATCATATGCCCAACCGATCTTGGCGAAGAAGTTGATGAAGTTTGTTGTGAAATTTAGCCTGTTGTTACCGAGTTCGGCGGTTTTGTAATCCCAGGGGAATGTATGGTGGTAATTGTGGAAGCCCTCGCCGAGCGCGAAAATGGAAACGGATATGTTCTCGGAGGGCTTAATGTTCTTATCGTAGGGCTTGTCGCCCCATTTGTGTGCAGCAGAGTTCACAAGCCAAGTCACGTTAAGTATGAAGGCGTAACGGAATAGCGCTGCGACAAAAAAGGCGTTGATCCAGCTTTCGCCCCAGCAGTAAACAGGGATCACTGTAGGCAGGATGAAGCACCCGATCGACATCAATAGCAAATAGTACCTGGAAAGGAGTCATTTACATTAAAGCTGGAATTTACTCATATTTTGATTGCGTTGGCTTCGTCAGACTCAGAGTGACTCATAGTCTAAATCGTACGTTTCCACTTACTAATTGCCAATCTACCTACACGATGAATAAATAAATGTCGATGAATCCAGTTATTTTTGTTAAACCCCGATAATTATAATTTGATACGGATAATATTTTACTTATGTAAATTTTTGCGTAAAAGTATTAGTTTTAGAAAAAGCATTAAACATGTATGGTACACACGGAAAACACATTACAATAGAAGGAAACGAAATAGCATCTTACCTAAAGTAATAAGAACTACGGTTACCAACCCACTTGGCAAGTGTGGCAACTATGGTAAATATCCCCCATATGAGACAACTACACGAAACAAGCCTCAAGAATGCCTCACAGTCTGTTATTTACACTGGTTCTCTATACCCTTCAGACGGGAAAACAGTAGTGCAAGCATTATTATATGACGGCGAAAATAGGTAAGACGTTGGTACCTATCTACACGGACACTTAGGCAGAAAAGGAGTCCTAGTTATTACTAGGTAGTAGGTATATTAATCCACTCGTACACATCGTAGGACCTTGAATTCCGAGACACTTGTACATGCAGTGTAAAAATTTATTTATTTATTTAAATAGGTATATACGATACGAAAAAACCCGACCGATCCGTGAGGTTCACATAACTCTTTTGAAAAAATAAGATAAAGAAATACCCCGCAAAAAATAATAATGGGGAAACTTACGTGGCAACACATGCGTCGCGGGCAGCCGGTGCGTGACAATATCTAGAGGTCACGACTGACCTCTGTTCACGCCAGGCTTCACATATCAGTTTATCGTTTGTTTGTTAGGAATAATTATTAAAAACCGCAAACAATGCATAATTGCAGTCACTAAGAATATTGTCACAGGCGATAGTGTCGCCAGATATCAAATATTTGCTCAGGTGCAGAACCAACGGCTTTACGTGCTTTCTGAGGCACGGGGGTGGAACACCGTCAGCTTCCTAACTTTGGGCTATTACTGAGAATTTCGTGACAGAAAAACCAAATAACTAATTTTGGTCCGACCTGTGGATTCCAACCCGGGACCTCATGATGAGCAATCGCGTTATGTACTGTTATGTATGTTACTAATAAACATGCGTTGTGTACTAAATAAAGATGCATTTTAAATAACAAACACATTTTTATTATTAATTTATAGTACCCTTCAATCATTTTTGCCATGAAAATATAGGTATAGTGTACAGTATAGTTTCTGTGATGTTAATGCTGTTAGCCTATGCGGCTCTTACAGCTTCATCGAACTCAGAGCTCTGCTGCCTTTATTATTTTCATGATCCTGTCCGCAACGTTGCACTAAAATCGATAATCTTGTGGGAGTAGGATAATATTGTGTTCAGTTCAGTGATCACATTAACATAACATCGCTGAGTTATCTAACGGCCTTCCGAACAGGGGGTGGCGTGTCCCGGCTCTGACGGCTAACTCGTATCGTTCGATGTTCTGTGCGGTGGGAACCACCCAGGGGATCCGGGTGTAAATACCAGTGTATACGCGGTGTGGAGGGGTATGCGGCGAGCCCGTCTGCGGACTCGCTGCGTCCCATTCGTTGTTGTCCTAACATTGTTTGTGGCACTAGGTGATTGTGTAGTTATGGAGTGTTACTGGCCGGCGACATTCGGTCGTCGGAATCTAACAGAACGGGAGGTTCGATTAGAAAATTGCGTGGCCTCCGAAGGGTTGGCGTAACATTCGGAATCGAAGCGTAAGTGGCTGCGTTTACCACTAGCGGGTTGGGGTGTGTCTCGGCCCTCTCGAAGTAGCGCCGAGACATATCCTTGAAGTATTCAGAGATAGTCGGAAGTTGACAGTCTCTGTGTAGGTCGGAGTTTCGCTGGTAGCACCGAGCTCCGGTCGCTATGCGAATTAATCTATTTTGGACGACTTGGAGGTTGCTCTAAATGGCTATGGCTTGCGTGCGCGAAAACTACGCTTGCGTAAGACATGATGGGTATTATTTTACTAAATGTAAGTAGTACAGAAATTGGTCTAAAATTGGCGGGGTCTAATGTACTACCAGATTTAAATAAAGGTATAATTTTACTATGTTTCATTTAATCAGGAAACACATCAGATTCGACGCTTGTATTAAATATAGTGAACATTCTTTAAGACATAATCTACACGCTTTATAAAGGTGGAAATTGTGTCTTAAAGACAGTTTGCTCTTGCTATTAACTAGCGGGTGGAGGATACTAGTGACGAATTTTGCACGGTTTCGGACATCGCGAATGTGCTTCACGAATGTCATACCATGGTCGAATGTAACTCCTAGGTATTTGGCCGTTGGTTGCCAGGGGATCTGGCGGCCGTACAGGGTGATCGTACCTAACGATTTCTTGGGGTTTCTGATTTGACGAGTGAAAGTGTCAGGATTCACTTAGATTCTCCATAAGCGGAACCAATCACTTAGGCGGTTGACGGTTGTTTAGAGCATCTTGGTGAGGTATCTTTTAATGGGATGAGCGACGAAAAGTGCAGTGTCATCTGCGAAAAGAGCAGTATTCACTACTGGGTGCTTCGGGATGTCACTCGTGAAGAGTGTGAAGAGTAATGGGGAGAGAACGGAGCCTTGTGGGACTCCAGCCTTGAGAGGACGTTTTGTAGAGCGAGTACGTGGCGATTGGCAAGAAAGGCTCTAATAATGTGGATGAGCCTATCAGGCACGTTGAGTTTATACAGCTTGTAAAGCAAGCCGTCCAGCCAGACTTTGTCAAACGCTTTTGCGACATCGAGGAAGGGGGCACCGGTTATGGTGGTTTTGCAATTATTTCGTGGGTGTTTAAATCCTTTCAGAATGTATTCTGTGAGGCGATGTAACTAGTCGGTGCACGAGTGTTCGGGTCTAAAGCCGAACTGCGCGCCTGGAAGAAGTTTGTTGGTAAAGACGTATTTACGAAGGCGATTCAATATGAGTCGCTCGTAAACTTTCCCCAGTGAGCTGAGGAGACTAATTGGTTTGTAACTAGAGGCTAAGTTGCGCGGTTTCTCCGGTTTCGGGATTCCTATTACGTCTGCCTCTTTCAGCAGGCATACGAGCGACGCGGAGAGAGATTTCAGTACCCTGTTGCTAATGCCATTTGGGCCGGGTGCCGATTTCTTTTTAAGGCTTTTAATTACTCCTGTGACTGAGCCGTGAAAGGCGAGATCGGGGTTTCCTGGCCGGATGAGAGGCGGGATATGTGAGGATTGTTCTGCTTTCAGAGCACGCGTCAACTGCCAGAAGGTAGTTTGTGATGGCTCGATGTCCGTCAGCAGATTATCCCACTTATCCTGTCTAGACTCTTTAACGCGCTGTTTCACCTCGTTTTGGAGGTTGCGCAGTCGGAATTGTACAATGAACAGACGCCAGCAATTTACATTTTATACACACGCACTCACACTACATACAGAGAGAGAGAGAGAGAGAGAGAGAGAGAGAGAGAGAGAGAGAGAGAGAGATGCACACTGTCACACAATGTCATAATAGTATATACATAATTTAGGACAGGGTATTTTCGAACATTGTTTTTTTTAAAAAAAAGAACATTTTACTTGGATAAAAGTTTTAAGATATTTTTTTACTTAATGTATACTTCATTTTCTTTACCAACCCGTAAGTCTGGGCCAACACCAATTGGCCTCTCCCATTGTAGGGAGGATGAGGTGCCCTTCGCCAGTCTGAGTATCGCATTATTCTGAAATATCTTGTAGTCTACTCTTACGACACCCATGGGATGAATGGAATCCTTTTATGATGAATGGATTCTTTTAAACCGCTACTACTACTACGGCTTATGTACGTCAACAAACATGAATCGTGAAAGAATACAAATTTGTTTCTGCTGCATGTTTAAATAGGACTTTAAAGTTATACTATACTCATTTCGTTTTCACCTTTATATAATCTAAATCTAAATGTAGTTTCACTTTCAGAAAAAAGAGAGAAAGAAATAAGTCTAAAACTTTCAGCAACTTTTCAATAAATCTTAGGAATTATCAAGTAGCAGACAAACTTACTTCTTTTGGAATCGAAGTATCGGGTCGGCGTACAAATCGCTGATGTCGAGCCCCTTGCCCTTTCTCTTCAGCTCGGGATGTTTGCGCACTAGAAGCCATCCGATGTGCGAGAAGAAGAAGCCACGTGTTGCATTGTGCGGGTCGGCATCCGTTTCAGAGTATTTGTGGTGCATGCGGTGATCCCGTGCCCAGTCTATCGCCGAATCCTGTAACAATCAAATCGATACTTAAATTTTTTCGTTCTTTTTTTAAATACACTATTATTTATCCATATTCGTGGAGGAATTTTACATAGATAATACTTGTTCAGTGCGGAATTCGAACCCGCTACCCCGCAGTGTTTCGCAACCAAAATACACAGTTACTGTGCTACCGAGCCGTCAAAATATTAGACATGGTCGTAGTTGCGTTGCGAAATATTGTTCACTGTTTTAAATTCATTTCATTCTAATCGACATTGATGCGAATTTAGTATGGTCAGAACAACATACGCGATAAGGAAATTATATACTAAGGAGAAATTATATATTCTGATTTCTTGTATTTAAGCGAATACTACACATTAAATAAAACTAATTCCACGGATTTAAACGAACGAAATTTTACGGACAAATATCCGTAAAATTAGTTTTATTCTAACTATAGAACTATAAAATTATACTAAAAATGACTTTTTCTTTTCAATATATTTCCCTTGGACCCTGGTTAATTAGCCTTTAAAAAAATATTAATTATCTTCTCAAAATAGTCACAAATCGATTCACTCATTGTCTCTCGCATTTGTTTTACACGAAGACCTTTTTGCTCTTTTGTAGTTATATAATAATTTCTAGGGGCTAAATCTATTTCTAGGGTGGACGTTCACCTCAAAACGCCTTTCAACCTTTCCATTATTCCAGCGTAGTATTCTCCTATTATGAAAACACCTTTTTCTGTGTAATCCATCGACGAGGTTCTTACTGAAGATCACATAGGCTGTACTAATTTGATTCGCCCCCAGAAGCTTACAGCTTACCCGCCGCTGCCGACGCCTACTCTGTCTACTCTGTCCATATATGTTTTGTTCCATAAACAAAAAAATTAGGACAAAATAAAACAATTATTTTAACCTTTCTTTTTCGAAACTACGCTCACAAATGTCAAGGGTCCGCCTTGTAACTTGCAAGAGTAAGGATATATCCCTGATTTACAGATAGCTGCATTTACATAAATAACGTAATTTTTTGACATCGTTAAACAAAGTTATTTCAAAGGATAATATTGAATTATTAAAATAATGGACGTTGTTTGAGGAATGATGTAATAGGTTACAACGGAGCTAATTTAAAAAGCAAAGAACAATTTTCAAGTACAATAGAAGATGACGATGACTTAAGACAGTGGCTAAATCTGCGCTCGATTACGTCGTTATGATTATTAAATTACTGCGCATGAACATGTATGTGATACGTGGTTTAGCATTATAGTATTAAAGTTATGTTAAGAACGTTTATGGTGACAACAATAATATACATTTCATATTTTTAGAGAACTAAAGGTGGATGCTGTTGAATAGGGTAGAATTTATCATACATCATGTTACTTCATTATAAGCCTCACATTAAACCGTAAAACGACTATGTATGTACTGTTGTTTTACGATAATACAGTATATTATTATGTTTCATTGATTATTTCATTAGGCTTTGTCTGTTTTTACAGCACACAGATGATGATTAAATCCCGGATAACTGCGTAGGCTATTATTAGTCAGAATACCTGGCTCATACATCTTAGGTCCTGGGTTAGAATCGCATCTAGAGTCAATATTTGTGGCTCCGATTTTATCGCATAAGCATTATATCGACCACTGGCTGGTAGATTAGGTTAAGCGAGTGATTCTATATAATTAACGCGTTAGCTTCAATATAATATCGAATGCGCGGTTGATAACTTCTGAGTCTTACCGTATTCGAAAGTTACCGTGTCAAATTATCATGATCATATCCTCCGATCTAGAGGACATCATCATCACTCAATCTAAATCGGCAAGATGATGATATTTTTTTTTATAGAAATCGACAATTTTATAGGTAAAATATTAACATTTTACCTTTTCGGTAGATTAATTGTGAAAAGGGATAATACAATTATTTTCAATATAGCGATAAGGTGTCAATGAAAGGATTGTTATATAAGTTCAGCGAACGATATGAAACGGTACAATGTAATGCAAAATGTAATAATTGTTCCAGGCTGACAATATTAAGTCTTTATAAGCTTTGAAATAAAATGACTAAACTTAAGCGTATGTAGAAACATAAAAAATGCAAATTATTACATTACGCATATTATTATATATAATATTATATATATTCAACGTGGTAGAGCCATGCTACAGCTATATTATGGTTTTAGCATAAATGGGTCATCTCCGACCGACCGAGGAAGGTCCACACTCTCACAGAATACCGGCGTGAAATGCAGCTTGCTGCTTTGTTTCGTAAGGAGAGTGTATATAACCAGATACCCTTTTTACTGAAAACGAAACTTTCAATCTTAATTCCTCAGGGGTAACAAACAACGCATCTGCATTTTGATCCTTAAACGCAGGTAGATGTTGATGTCTATTGACCACATCTACCACTTACCATCGGGTAGACTGTGTGATCATTTATTACCTACCCTTATTCTATTTAAAATAAATTGTAATGCAGGTACTTGAACTTGAACTAAATAAAATAGTGTAGGGTTCGGGTGCAAGACTAGTTTATACATAAAGTTTCTGTACCTATTCAATTTCAAATCATTTACACACACCAGTTAGCTCAACGTCATGTCACCGTCAAGTTGCTGATCAGTCACGTCAAAAAATATAGTTAAGTAGAAATTGTAGGAATTCTGACCACATGTCAGATGCCTGTCACGACCAGCGCATCGGACGTGATATAGGGTGCCATATACACTGGGAGCACTGCTCAGTGCTCTCACTGATAAAAAATTCGTTACGTTATGGACTTCCAGTATACTGCCGCAGTACCCTAGGGAAATATATGACGTCATAAATCGCCGCCATTTTGTACTGTGAGCACTGACGCTTCCGAGGTAAGGGGCTCTCACTACTCTGATCACGTGATCAAAAACATAAAGCACCTAGAGATTTAACAGCTTCAACGAATGATTATTATTAATTAACTAGCTGTTGCCCGCGACTTCGCCCGCGTGTTAAGGTTTTTATGTTTTTGCGCGGAACCCCTAATTCTTTTTCTAAAATAAAAGTAACCTAAGTTACTCCTTATGAAATCAGCTATCTACCAGTGAAAGTTCCGTCAAAATCGATTCAGCCGTTTCGGAGATTAGCAAACAGACAGACAGACAGACAAAAATTTTAAAAATTGTATTTTAGTTATAAGTACCGTATTTACTTTCATATGCATTTAGTAAAAAACTGTAAATTTGACATTACAAACAGACACTTCAATTTTATTTATTTGTATAGATATTGTTATTCAAATAAACTCGGATATTAAGTTTTAAAAGCACTTTATTTTTTTTATTAATTATTTTTCTTAATTTTTCTTGTTAAACAAAAAACGTGTAAGTACATGATTAATATTTTCATTTGAAAACAGTGTCGAAAAGTGGGGATGACAGAACACTGGACTGCTTTCCGTTTTAATCAGTAACCAGTATCCTACTAATATTTTAAACGTGAAAGTTTGTGAGGAGATGTATGGAAAACCACTGAATGTATTTTAATGAAACTTTACAATAATATAGCTCATACATCAGAACAACACACAGGCTGTAATTAATAAAGATATTGTATAAATTGGTCAAAATATAACGAGAAGTGTTGATCGTAAGTCGAATAAAATCTGTCATCTGCGAGCTATTTTGGCGTACGGTGCAAAAACTATAAGAGTTACACAAAAATAATGTATGGTGAAATTATTTCTTCTAAATAGTTCTAAAAAAAAGTCCGCGACAGTATATTATCCATCTTTTATGTGTAAGCCATTATTACCAAAATAGTGAACCATAAATAAAATAAAATTTGATACTTTATTTCCAATGCACATTTTTCAGTAACAAATGGATTATATCAAAATAAATACTTTAATCGCTTCTGATATTCAAAGTAGATACCATTTTGTCTTTTAAACTACGTAATTTAGTTAAATATCTTAAAAGTAAGGACGATTTAAAATTGTGCGATCCGGCGCGCGCAGAGCGGTAGGACGTACTGCGGGCGAGGTGGGGGAAAACATCACTCATCGCCGCGTGAGCAAATGTACCTCTTCACGCTTAAACCGCTGAACTGATTTAAATGAAATTTGGTATCGAGACAGTTTAAGTCCCGGGGATAGAAATAGGATAGCTTTGATCACGGAAATCATCCCTAAAGAGGGTGATGGAATTTACTATGAAAGTGCGATTATTGATGAATCACCTATGGTATAAAGTATAATATCTACGCGGACGATGTCGCGGGAAAATGCTAGTAGCAAACTAAAAAGGAACGACTACACAGTATACTGAATTGACGTAACACCTTACAGTGGTTACAGTGTACATATCGGAACACACCCTTAGTGTATTCCTAATGTTGACACGACTGATAGGTGAATTGACGGTAACATGACTGAGGCAGCCTTAGCCTCAGTGAAGCTAAACAAATTTTTTCTAAAATTTTAAACGTTTTATTTCCAACTAGCGATCCGCACCGGCTTCGCACGGGTGAGCAAAACATCATTTTAATCAAAAAATAATGGCTGCTTTTATTTTTAAATGTTGGCATCATGTTCAATGATGTTTCCACTGATAGCAGTATTAGAAGTGGCCGGATTATTCTTAGTGTGGTAGTAATATAAGTTACTTTAATGACGTAATACATACATAAAACTTGGACATGTTTTTAAAAATGAATAAAAAGGGAAAACATAAAATGGAGACAAGAAAAAAATAACATGTATAAAAAAATAACAATAAAAGGTACGCTATTTCGCGATTTTCGGATTTTTCCTTTACTTTTGCTATAAGACTTTATTTCGAGCCAAATTTTATGATTCTAGGTCAATGGGAAACACCATGTAGGTTTTGATGAGAGAGTTTGAGAATATCAATATAGGTAAATGACCATAATATGTGTTGATTACGTTGACTTGGAAGCTTGAATTCTATGGAAATTTGAATATATATCTCCAAGGGAACTTACTATTCATTTCAACTTGGTGCCACGAAACGTTCCTGAGAAAAAAGTCTTGACAGACAGACATACAGACAACAAAATGATCGTATAAGGGTTCCGGGGGTGGGACCAAGAGTGTTCCAATCTTTTTGAGGGTATGTCGAAGAGGTGGTCTAACGTATGTTGTCAATGTATTGATTTTTAAACGACTTGCAAATAAAGGACAAATCTTTTTTGTTTCATTATACTATAAAATAATTTGTTATTATCATACGTAGGGTGCTCCATCTTCATGGAATTATATTATTATAACAATAATAGCTTATAGTAATATTTATAAATAATAGCAGTAATCCTTAAATTGTTAAAAATCTAGAGTATAACGAAATAGATTTAACGTAGCACGTACTCGTAACTTATTAATTAAAGATAGGACGGACGTGGACGACTAGTTGTCATAAACTTGATGGAATAACAAGGAGGTTATAATATAAAACCTCCTTGTGGAATAATAACAGCATGCGCCGATAAAAACTACTGGTCCTTTGCTATGGTCGTTTAAACGGTCGGTCGTTTTAACGGTGGTAGAGCCCCGCAGCAGTTTTTGCTGTTGCACGTATGGGCCGGCTCGAGCCGGGTTGGTACCACGACCTCACAGAATACCGGCGTGAAGTAGAGGCTCTGATTCTGCGTTTCGTCTGGTGAGTGCAGGTGGCCGGAGGCCCAATTCCCCCCCCCCCCATCAACATGGTAGCGGAATTAGACAATAGACTACCCCCGGAGGGTACCAGTACCCCTGGAGAATCCCTCGCTGAGCATCCACGACCATGTTATTCCAATCCTGAGCGTGGGTGCTCAGGCTGCCCCGCGTATTCTGGGGGGGGGGGGGGGGGGGGCAAAATTCCGCTCAAAAACAAAACTGCTCGGGGCAAACTGAGCAACAATACCAAGGCAACCCCTGCCACGCTATCCGTGAATTTCTGCAACATCAGGGGACTTCACTCTAACCTAAACGCCGTCCACTACCATCTGGAGACGGCGAAGCCGGCCTTGCTCTTTCTGACCGAGACACAGGTTTCCTCTCCGGCTGATATTTCGTATCTCTCCTACCCGGGGTACAAATTGGAGCACTCCTTTGTGCCTCGGGCTGGAGTTTGCGTGTATGTCAGAGAGGACATCTGTTCTCGACGCCTCGGCAGTCTTGAAGGTTCGGACATGTCCATCCTTTGGCTACGCGTAGACAGCGACGACCATCCGCGCGTCTACGGGTGCCTCTATAGGTCCCATAGCGGTAATGCCGAAACAGACCGACTCATCGACCACGTCCAAATGGCTACAGATTCCTTGCTACAACAGGTCCCATCCGCAGAGATCGTGATCCTTGGCGATTTTAACGCCCACCATGCCGAATGGCTCGGTTCACGTTTAACCGATCATGCGGGGAGATCTGTTTATGACTTTGCCTTGGCATATGGTCTGACACAACTGGTTACTTCGCCTACGCGGATTCCAGATGTGGAGGATCATACACCTTCCCTGTTGGACCTTCTGCTGACCTCTCATCCGGACGGATATCAGGTTTCCGTCGATGCCCCTCTCGGCTCTTCGGACCATTGTCTGATCCGGAGTATGGTGCCACTCACGCTCCCTTCGCGGTTGCGTTCTGCAGGTTGCCGCCGTGTTTGGCATTACAGGTCGGCGGATTGGGACGGAATGCGGTCTTTCTTTGCATCCTACCCATGGGGGCGGGTTTGCTTCTCGCCGGATGATCCCAGCGCTGTTGCTGACTCTGTCACTGATGTGGTGCTACAGGGAATGGAACTATTTATTCCATCATCTGTGGTACCCATCGGAGGCAGATCTCAGCCTTGGTTTGGTCGCTCCTGTAAGACTGCATTGCGCAGTAAGCAGGAGTGTTATCAAGCCTGGGCTGCGGCTTCGGTGACACGGGATGTAAACACCAGCACACTTAAAAAGAAGTATAACTTCGCCTCCAGGTCCTTCAAAAGAGTTATTGCCAAGGCAAAGTCAGAGCTCATAGGTAGAATTAGCGAGAAACTAGTTCGCCTTCCTTCGGGAACCCGTGCATTCTGGTCTCTCGCCATGGCTGTCCAAGGGAATTTCTGTAAGCCATCACTACCATCTCTGCACAGGGAGGACGACTCACTGGCCCAAGACGCAAAAGACAAAGCCGACCTTTTAGGCTCTCTTTTTGCGTCCAACTCGACTCTTGATGACGGGGGGAAAATACCGCCGACCATCCCGCGGTGTGAGTGCTCCATGCCGGATGTGCTATTCTCACAGCGCTCAGTTCGCAAAGCACTTCTCTCCCTGGACATCCAGAAGTCGAGTGGGCCTGACGGAATCCCCCCAATTGTGCTGAGGACGTGTGCTCCGGAGTTGGCACCGGTCCTAACGCATCTTTTCCGGTACTCCTACTCCCAAGGCGTAGTCCCGAATTCATGGAAGACAGCTTTTGTCCACCCGATCCCTAAAAAAGGCGACCGCTCAGACCCGTCCAACTATAGGCCTATCGCGATCACCTCCTTGTTCTCCAAAATAATGGATTAACTGCCAGCTCATCCGGTACCTTGAGGATCACCAGCTGATTAGTGACCGCCAATACGGTTTTCGTCGGTGTCGATCAGCTGGTGATCTTCTGGTCTACCTGACCCATAGATGGGCGGAGGCAGTTGAGTCCAAGGGGGAGGCGTTGGCCGTTAGTCTGGACATTGCGAAGGCCTTCGATCGGGTTTGGCACAAAGCGCTTCTTTCGAAGCTCCCTTCCTATGGGCTTCCCGAGAAATTGTGCAATTGGATCACTAGCTTTCTTGCAGATCGGAGCATCAAGGTCGTTGTAGACGGTGCATGTTCTGACTACAAGCCTATTAACGCTGGTGTTCCACAAGGCTGTGTGCTATCACCAACGCTGTTTCTTCTGCATATCAATGATATGTTGCTAACTGGTAACATTCATTGCTATGCGGATGACAGCACTGGTGATGCTCTATACACCGGCCGGGCCAATATTTCTCGGGAAAACGTCGCCGAGTACCGGAACAAACTTGTGTCTGAAGTCGAGTCTTTGCTGGACAAAGTCTCGGATTGGGGGCGACTAAATCTAGTCCAATTTAATCCTCAGAAGACACAAGTTTGCGCGTTTACCGCTAAAAAGAACCCCTTTGTCGTATCTCCTCAGTTTCAAGGCACTCCCCTTCTTGATTCAGCCAGTATCGGTATCCTCGGAGTCGACATATCGAGTGACGTGCAATTTCGTGGTCACTTGGAAGAGAAGGCCAAATTGGCCTCTAAAAAGCTTGGCGTGCTCAGCAGAGCGGGACAGTATTTCATGCCGGCACACCGCCTGCAACTTTACAAGGCGCAGGTTCGGCCTCACATGGAATACTGTTCCCATCTCTGGGTAGGGGCTCCCCAATGCCAGCTCCTTCCACTTGACCGCATCCAGCGCAGAGCGGCTCGAATCGTCGACGACCGAGCCCTTTCCGATCGGCTCGATTCATTGGCACTGCGAAGAGATGTTGCATCTCTTTGCATTTTCTATCGCATCTACCATGGGGAGTGGTGCTCTGAGGAATTGTTCGGATTAATCCCAGCCGCCAAATTTCATGAACGCACATCGCGGCAGAACTCCCGATACCATCCACATCATCTGGATGATTGGCGGTCCACCACTGTGCGATTTAGAAGATGTTTTCTTCCTCGCACGACTTCCTTGTGGAATCGATTACCATCAGCGATTTTTCCGGACCGATACGACTTAGGAACCTTCAAGAAAAGAGCCTACTCCTTTTTAAAAGGCCGGCAACGCATCTGCAATTCCCCTGGTGTTGCGGTTGTTCATGGGCGGCGATAGTCACTTACCATCAGGTGAGCCGCATGCTCGTTTGCCCCCTCTCCTATAAAAAAAAAAATGTCAGACGAATTTTTTAGATTATTAAAAATCTAGAGTATCGAAATCAATTGATCGTCGCACAATAGCAGACTAAATAAGTAAAAATAGCGCTTAAATAAAACTTTTATAACATTTCGTTGAATTCTTTTTTTTAAAGAATGGGGTTGACATTCACAAGCGAGCACACAGTCCACCTGATGGTAAGCGGATGTGGCTTATAGACATCTACATTTATCCTCCATTAAAAATCAAAATGCAGTATGCGTTATAATCCCGGAGGACTGAAATGGAATGTCTTGCTTCTAGTAATAAAGGTCTCCGGTTTTCTACACTCACCTTACGAAAAACACCAGCATTAAGCTGCTATTTTACGCTGGTATTATGTGAGAGCGCGGTCCAACCCCGGTAAAGCCGATGCTTTAACGATAATATAGCTGCAGCGTAAAATCTATCAAAATATTAGCAAATCAGTTTTATAGCAAAATTAAAAGTAGTACAGTATACACAGATTAGTAAAGCAGAATTTTGATACTGAAGAAAATGCATTCAACTTACCTGGAAAGCCAATGTGTTGAACATGACAAGTATGAGTCTGAGCGGCCATTTCGCTTTGTAAGACTTATGAGCCCAAAGTCTATGAGCACCTGCTGTGATACCTAGCCCCGACATCACGTACAGTATGTAGGCTGTCAAACAAAACATAAAATACTTACATTGATTTCATTAACAAAAAAATTTATTGTAAACGGTAAAAAAAATATCAGCTAAATCTTTTTTGACACGCAAACAGAATTTATAAGTACCTAAATAAAATACATCCCCACCACAAATTAATTATTTTTTCTGATATTTATTTTATTTATAAAAACGTTACCTCCAGACTAGGATTTTCTCCTGTATCGTGGGGGCAGTTTACATACATATATTTCACAAGGACAAATATCCAGACCCTGAACAATTATTTGTAGGCCATACAAATACTTGCTCCGTGCGGGATTCGAAGTTCGAACCCGCGGTCCTTACCGCTGCATTTCATTGCTAACTCACTGCGCCACGAAACCATCATTATTATAAATATTGATATAAATATTGATGATCTAAAATACGATAAAAATGAGACTAGACGGCTATTTACTGTCACCATCATTAACTTCATCAGTTTTACCTACTTTAGAAGTCGCAACAAAGTGCAAAGTTTATATTTGACTATTATGACTCGTATTTTAGTTTAATTGCTAATTGCTATTATTAAAAACGTTCATATCTCGATATTGATTTCGTTTGTATTTATTTATGTGCCAATTTAAAAAACTGCTATGCTGTAATTGTAATAGTTATTTATTTATATCTAGGCCGAAGACAGGAAGTAAGTTTAGCGTGAATTAGGATTTGATAAAAAAAACGAAGATGAAAGATTGATCTACAATAATAAGATACAAGAGAATATACAATAACGTAATAATGTTTTTTTTTAATAATATTCTTTTATAATTACGTCAATAACAGTGATGTTTATACCTATAAAATTGCGAACAGCGAGCGAAATTAAAAATTTTGTACAACTGACTTCAATATAAATTATTAAGAATAACTCAAACGCTATTAGTCAAAACTTAATAAAATTAAAATATATGGGACCACATGTGAAGCAACAGCTTTCAAATAAAAAAGAATCATCGAAATCGGTTCACCCAGTAAAAAGTTATGAGGTAGCACAGATTAAAAAAACATACCGTCGAATTGAGTACCGTCTCCTTTTTGAAGTCGGTAGAAAAGAAGTAAATAAAATATTTTAGTAAAAAAGGACAAGGTACGTAGTATTTAGTTAATCTGTCTGTTGTACAAATAACCTCCTATAAATCAGCAAAAGTCAAACAATTTTAAGAAAACAAGCTTTAAAATAGTATTTACGTACCAAATACGTCCGTTTGCCATTTGGCGGAGAACAGGAAGAGATAACCTCCGTAGATGGCAGCGAGATGGAGGTAAGCAAACAAAATAATATTCCTCCAAACTAGTTGCTTTGGCTGATCGTCCGCTTGTTCAATTGGACGGTTGGGGAGAGCCAGATCGGGCGTAGCCGCATCAGACTCGAAGAGCACCCCATTCGCGTCAGCCGATTTTGGGGCCATTTTGAGTCTGTGAACAACAAAGATATGAAAGTAAGCGTTAATCCATTTGTGAGAATTTGTTATTCATATATCGTTATCATACAGTCCTTATCTTGTTTGCAGCAAAACCTTTCCACTTGTGAAAATGTAGCGCAGTGACAAAACAGCTTTAGATTTGGTTTTATGTCGGGCATATTTATACCGTGCGGCGGCGGCGAAAATAATACATCGCCTCATTTGATCCCGTGGGTGTCGTAAGAGATCACTATGGGGAAAGACAGAAAAATCCAATCGTCCCGCGAGAGACGAGACGTCCCATTTTGAGAGCCTTAGCAGATCCGTCTCAAGAAAGATGTGAGTGAGACGCCAATTGTCCTCCTTCCAATCTAGTCTTATGCAATAATAAGACTAAATTTCGAACAGAAGTATCTAACATTGAAGGCACGTATTCTTTTACCTATTTGAATGAAGATTTAAATTCAGAAGCTCTAAAAATACTTAAATGTGCAAAACCATCAGAAACGATTTTTTTTTTATAAGGAATAGGTAATTATGTTTTTCATTCATTCATTATAGCTTTGTGATAGGTCATGTCCACTGCTGAATATAGCCTACCATAGATTTTCATGGGGAATTTTTATTCACAGTAAATTTAAGACGAACAGTCTCTTCTGAGAGAGAGTTATCCAAAGTAACATAATAAACATCACACATTAGTACCATAACTTTAAAGTTACCATCAAGTTAAATTTATATAAGTAAGAAAAAAAAGTATGTACTGTTTTAAAAAGTTGTGGAAAACTCCATATTTGTTACGTTTAACTTTTTTAGTTTGCATGTTTGTGTAATTTTTTTTAAGTATCATGTATCGGAAAGAAAAACGTAACGTAAATCTTATCTGCGATTATACTTTTCGGCATTCTATATTTGATTGCAATTTTTCGCAAAACCGTGCCGTAAGGTTGGCAAGCCTAGTTCAGTCTGATTTCGCGTAGTGTATAATATTCTTTGGTCTGATGGTGGTATAAAGATGTTAGATGTAAAATATATACGGGAATACGAGAAGCAGCGTCAAAGGTGTAAAACGTCTAGTTTATGGTAAAAACTCCTAACAGCGGGAGAGGCCGATATTTTATACTAGTGTGGAGCTGTTGTAGCTTGTAGCCTAGGTATACGCCGCCTCGGCTACCATACTCTCATTTATCACTTTACCACATAAGGATGCAGAAAGGAAGAATATGAAGGGACGGCAACAACACGCCTTGCACCTCAACTAATAAATGGGACTCTGGCGACTGAAAATTCATTTCAAAATGCCGAACGTAAATCCCACCGACCGTTGGAGTGTCAGTACATAGTAAGGTACTTAGGCCCGAATGGTGAGTTCTGGCAAACTTTACAAAAAGGCTAATTAAGTTAAAAGGGAGGCCATATGTTAAGATCTTATGGCTTCCGATAGATGGCAGTAAAACCATATCGATTACGCCAAAGGTTAAAAATACGTTTACGTGGTAGAGCCATGCTCCAGCTACATTATGGTTGTAGCATGAATGGGTCGGCTCGACCGGGGAAGGACCACGCTCTCACAGAATACCAGCGTAAAATAGGAATAAAATAGCAGCTCAATGATGCTGTAGAGAATCGGCGATACTTTTCACTGGAAACTAGGCATTCCATCTTAGTCCTCAGGGGTGACAACGCATCTGCATTTTGATTCTTAATCGAAGACAGATGTAGATGTCTATGGACAACAACAACCATCAGATGGACTATGTGCTCGTTTTCATGGTGTGGTAAGTGGTAACAGTAACTAAGACATATTTGACACGTATGTTTTTGTTATGCATGTTAACCAATTTCTCAGAAACGGAACCGACATCAATATTTTTTTATATTAAATACGATATGATAAATACATCCAGGGTTGTCAAATAAAATAAAATAAAAATGTTTTATTTTTCAGGCATCGTTGTTCTATAGCATCTTAGTAATACAAAATATTGTTGTCCCACTTAAATTTGTTTAAAAAATACCATCCCTAAGGGTGAAAATAGGGAATGAAGTTATTATTGTAACTATTCAGATGACATTATTTTGTTTGTTTGATCTTGTGATATCGCTTACACCACTCAAAAAAAAATAAAATAAAAAGAATATTTAAATTAAAAGTAATTTTGATCAACTCACTGGCGCATTTGAACGCGTTTTACCACTTTTCGGCTACCTACGTCGCTTCATACCATCAAGTACTCAAGCACTGACATATAATTGGTATAAAAAGTATTTTAATGGCCCACATAATATTATAGTTTATCCGGGTCAGCGTGCCCGTCATTAATGTCTATAAAAATGATACAAGAGAACGCCCTGAAGTTTTGTTTAGTTTGTTAATTTCTTTTTTATAAAACAAGTGACAAACAAACTTATAGTCCATCTGTTATTAAAGTAAGGCTGGGCAATTCATGGACACCTGCAGCCAACTTCAAACAAAACAGGCGTACCATAGAGGACTAAAATGGAATGACACAAAGCCTATAATTATTAATTATACTGGCTCTGTATAGCATTCACAGCGGAACACACCAGTGCAAACACTGTTATTTGGCGGCAGAAATAATAATTGGTACCTAGTGCTATTTTGCGACAGAAAAAGAAAAATATTTATTGGTTTATTGCGGTAAAGGTAATTAAGGTCGTCGTTATGTTGGACGACCCAAGACTGAACTAATTTCGCGCAAGTAAATTATAGATTTACATCGCGCCTAAATCATACAACTTTTATATTTTAAGGTAGGATAGGATTGTTATTAATTTACCAGAAAACTAAGAAACAATGTACATGCAATCGGAAGTTACAAAATAAGACTTTTCGATAGCATTTGCGAAAGAATTTAACTTATACTTATTCTTTGATATAAAAAGAAAATATTATCTAATCTAATCTGTTTTACTCTTTCCCCTCCCTTATGCAACTTTTTTAACATATAAGAAATAAAAAACTATACCTATATTTTATGTACAGTAAAAAACAAACCATAAATGTGAGAACTAAAATATAACCTACAAACTAAACTTATTCATGTCAAACTTTAATTTAGTTTCTTTTTATTTAGCGAAAATAATGTTATGTAGCTGTTGAAGTATATAATGTACGGTATGTAGTACACATTATTTCAATGTGTGTGTGTCTTAAACATTTAGAACGCCTGTTAATTTACCCTCAAAGTTTATAATGGCAATATTATATGAATACAAAAAATAACTATTATTTCCTATATTTTTTTAATAATAATGAAAGCGAAGCATGCTTTATACTTTCCACGTGTGACCTTCAAAAACAAAAAAAAAACACAAAATTATTACAGTAAGACTGTCCGACGTGAATTCATGTCTTATCGTTGTTTTAGGCGGCCCGTGGACAGTTAATCTAGACTAGATGATGACGATCTGCGATCAAAATCAATGGTCTGTGCATGAAATTGATTGAAAGATTGATATATAGGATCACTAAATATCTAGATATCTTGAAATCAAGATCGTGATCAACGGATCGCGATCAGGGTTGAACGTATATGCTTTGGATTGCGTGAGTCTACGCTGAACGCTTTCGCATCCTTTTCCTCATACAATTGTCTTTTTTGGTAATATATGGAGTTATCATTTGTAGTAACTCATCAAAACATTTTCCCCCATCCTGAAGTTGTTTTTATAATCGTTAATTTCAATAGTTAGTTGAATTTCTTAAAGTAGATTTAAATGAGTGTACGTTATTAATTAACCACTGTTTAACCCAGCGCCTTTTTCGTACCTTGTCTTCAAAATTAGGGCCTAAACAAGAGATACTACGACTTTAATTTTATGTAAATCCATGACAACATGTGTTAACACGGCGGGTACGATACACGAACTGAAGAAATCGAGATTAATGGTGTAAAGTTGTAGCGCGATCCCGTGATCCATGATAGCGATCAGAGCTATACGATCGCGATCGAGATTAAATGTGTATGGGCTGCCTTATGGCCTGTTGCGAATTCGCCCGATATATTAGATTATGTACGAGTATGCATTGTCAAAGACAGGGACAACAACAACACAAGACAGACCTGATAGACCAACAATTTCTATCTATGTATAATATTTGAGTACGTACCTACTTATATCTCAAAAGTTAGTAGCGAGACCATCGTGAAAAATAAAAGGATTACAATAAAATAATATAGGTACAGGGTTATTTTTCAATAACTGACTAAATTTGAGAGAAGATTTAAAATAAGTAATATAGGCAAATGGTGAAGAAAAAATAATTAAAAAATATCTCAAATATTTTGTCCTTTTTATCATTTAAATTCAAAATGCGTTTGAAAGATAAAAAGGATAGAATGAATGAACAAAATTTTAATTGATTCTACTGCGCACGCAAAACATTCGTGAGGGTCGATCGGTAGGGAAAAACGTTGTTGCCCATAAATCACATTCAAATTGGGATAATTTTAGAAGCCTTATTTACTCGGTATTTTCAAAAACTGCAATAACGGTTATATCAATATTTATATTTTTGAGTTGTACAATTTGGCTACTCTTTGAATAATAACCCTTTATAGAGAAGAGAATATATCATTTTGCAATGTAATCCAACGGCGAATTCGTAACCACGACTTCGTAGTTTTGCGGTCCGTATCTGTATGTAACCATCTAAAGATAATCAGGCTACTGTCGTCTAATTCTTTTTCTCAATAATTTTTTAATAGTTGACACATTGACTTATAAAATCTTGCGAGATACACGAACTTTTAACCCGTGTGCTATTCTGCAGGGCTATAATATCCACAGTAGATAAAATTAGAGATAGACTTAGACTTAGATTTTTCGTATGAATATAAACTTAAACCCACGTTCAATGAGCTGGGATTGGACTTTCATTTGGCTCCATGCTACGGACGGGGAATATATGTCTACTCGTTATGTTGCTGCCGGGAACAAAGTCAATGGTGCCCTGACTGCGTTAGTCAAAAGGCAAGGCGTAGTGAAGAGTGCACGCCTTGCAATACATAACGCAGTGTTGGTACCGACTTTGTTATATGGCAGCGAAACCTGGGTATGCCAGAAGAAGCATAAAAGCAAGTTGAATGCAGGGGAGATGCGATCTCTTCGTAAAATGTGCGGCGTTACCATGGCTGACCGAAAACGAAACGAAGAGATTCGCAATATGGCAGGTTTGAAAGATGACCTTATCACAAAAATTGATAAGGGCGTGCTTCGATGGTTTTGGGCACGTTGAGCGAATGAGTGAAGACCGAATGGTGAAGAAAATATATAGCGCGAAAGTAAATATTAAAAGGTGTCGAGATATACCGAGACTAACTTTCGAAGACCATGTGAGCAAATTGCTCGAAGAGGGGAGGGTCAAGAGTACTCGTATACCTAGACATGCATGTATGAAGAAGATAATGAATCTGAAAGAAGCGAAAGAGGTATGTAAGGATCGTGACACTTGGCGATCTGTTCTCTCTGGCTACCCCGTCAGGGATTGTGCGTGAAGTGTCAAACGAGGATATACATCTCCCCGTTGCCGTGCTTTGGCATAAGGACAAGATATTTTTATCTCTTGTCCTTATGCCAAAGCCGTGCTGGAGTACTTACTCTCAGCAAAGCTTACTCTTTCTATATGAGTGTACTAGGTTTAGACAGCTAATACTAGGTGCAGCCGATTGCGGTTGGTTAAACTTAGATGTATCTATCATATAATCGTATAATTTATAAATTAGATAAATGTCTGCTATTTTGATAATCGCACTTTAACCTACAGTCACTACGTACTTGATACGTTCTTCCGTATTTTTACAAATTTTACAGTATATCTAAGTTTATGGTTTAACCAACCACAACCGGCTGCACCTTGTAGTAGCCGGCTAAACCTAGGTGTATCCGCACTTCGGCTATACACAGCAGATACATTAAACGCTTCGAGTTGAATGTATTCATAGCAAACAATTTTAATGGTAAGTTCATGTCAAAAGTAGAAGAGAGATGAAACATAAAAATCATGTACATTTTACACAAACATTAAAACCCACAAAAAAATTTCGCTTAAGGTGTTTTTCTTTTTTGTAAAATAACGGAACAAAGACACATTTGTATCACACGAATTTATACTAAATGTAAAATTTAATAAAAAATGCGTTTATAAAATGGTGACTAAAATCCAAAAAATCTAAAAAATTACGAACGTACGAGATAAATAGCAGTGCAATACTCACAATTTGTAACTAAACACTATTTTTTAATGTTTAAATATAATTACAATAATACAAGCTACTTTAATTAGCTTTTATTACACTAGCACTTTGCACTAGCTAGACTTCACTCTCATAATCATTCTAGTGGAATGGACACTACTATGCCGCGGTAGGACATTTTATAGGAATTGCTTATAGGCAATTACGGATCAATATAATTTACATGAAATGACGAAGAAACGAAGATTGTTTTTATCAATTAACAAAGTAAGAAAAACATAACCCATATTTCTGTATTGTAACAGGATATTTCTATATTCTACACAGACCAATGAAGATAACATTTTTCAATATGATTTACTACGTAATTATGAATGCATTTTAGTTATTATATCTAAAGTTTAGACAATTTTTTTAAAAAATAAATAAAGTATCTTCTTTTTTAATATAGTGAACTGCTTTTCGCCATTACTTTTTTATGGTAACATCCTGCGATACAGAAGTGGGCGAAAAGAAATTAGCGAAGTTAAACTTAGAAGCCCTACCTCATCCGCTATATTCTCCAGACCTTGCCTCAATAGATTTTTTTAGAACTGTGGATAACATTTTATAGTCGATAATTTCAATACATAGTTCATCGATTCTCGTGCAACAAACTTACCAACTGCATCAACAAACTCAGAATTTAAAATCGCAAGAATGTGTAAATAGTTTAGGCAAATATTTTGATTACAGTGTTTTTTGTAAGACTTATAATCAATTTATTTTGATTTCGTGGGAATACTCTAAAACAGACTTTTATTTAATTAAAAAAATTGTTTTCTCATAAGTTACAATTATAGGTTAAAAATATAATACAAGACTTGTCTCGCAGTAAGTACAAGTATGGACACACTATTTATAACATACATAAATTATCAGTTTCTGATGTTTGTTTTGCTTAATATTGCAGTAATAGTATTCCGTGAGTGTGATCAGTAGTTATCAGTAATACTAACAGTAAGGGGTTAGAATATGGCAAGTTTTATTGTTTTATCAATTATTATTTTGCTTACATTTCTAAATTTTCCAGTAACCATGAAGAACGCAATGATTTTATGCGCATCATTTGAAACTAAGATTCGTAAGAAATAATCAAGCTGCAAATGTTCTGCACTGTATAATGATTTGAGTCTAATAACGTATGGTTGCTTGTTTTGCTGGTATATTATATTTAATCATTTCAGCCTCATTTTTCAGTCAATACGCCATATTAAACCTAAAGGTGACCTAGCGTCCTACGTTTAGTATTTCAGTCAATTCGGTATTATACTTACAGTTTTCGCAGTTTATAGGCAGCATTTAAAATACATTATGAAAATTACCTATCACTATTTTAACTATGGTGAAATGTATAATTTAATCGATTTATATGCCTATAAAATGTTTTACAAGGCATATAAATCGATTAAATTATTTACATTATATTTAAAATTAATACATAATTGAATTATTTTTATTTAAAAATAAAAAAAATATTACATATTAGTTCTAGTAAAAGGTACAACAAAACTTTAAACGATTTAAAAATACTGAATCCTACCTTAAAATCCAATAGGAGTGAACTTGTTACGTGGTTAAGTTTGCTTCAGTACTTAACTGCACAAAAAATATTTAGTAACTATGTTCACACGTATATGAACGCTTTTATTTTTGAATCTACATAATAATGAATTTGAGACGAACAATGCTAGAGACGCCAGACATAAACCTTTATTCATGTGCTCACGTCATTATACCGTAAAGTCATACTATCGTACTATACAAACCGATGTAGAGTGTGTGTTGCCAGGCTATTTTTATAAGAAAGCCGAAAACTGCTTTGTTAAACAAAAATCTTGAAACTGTTTTAAATCGTAACTTCTTTTTAATTAATACAAAATAGCATTATTATGATATTTATTGCTGAATATATCGACAAAAAAAAACTTAATTATAAACTTATTTAATGACGCTATATAAGACAAAGCCCTACTGTTAAAGAACATAAAAATCAAAATAATGAAAAAGATTATATATTTCATGAAAGTAACAATCTCTAAGGTGTTGTATATGTTTGTATTGTTTTCTTAGTTGCAAATTTTGATTGCTTAAAAACAAATTTATTTATTATTGTCATCAAACCACAAACCTTCAAAAGTAAATTTATATAATATTTCATATGCATGATAGGATTATTATAATATTACAATAGGTACAAGCTAAAAATAAACTAACAGTAAAAGGGCATTTACTAGGGGGAAAAATCCACACTGCTTTAAAGCGAGAGTCAAATTTGAAGTAAATTGAAGGCCTCACAACGTGAGGGCGAACTCTACGCTCGATATGTGTATATACCTAAATTTCGCTACATAAAATATTTCTTGTGCTTTTAGCTACACATCAAATTCATATTATTATTAGCGTTACAGTAACTAAAGACATTGAATTATAAGATTAAGTGCATTTTCTAATTCTTTCACTATAGATTAGTTAACAAAATGTAATTGAAAAAATATATGGACTGCTGTCCGTTGGTCTATGCGTCGGTGAGTCTTCTCTCTTAATAGAAATGTAAGCAATAGATTAAGATATATAGTATTAAATAAGATTCCATATATTCTAAGGAGGATCAGTATTGATTTTTGTTATTGAACTCAACACCGTTTAAAAGTTATTAATGGTAGTCGATCAGATTCTCTGCTTTTTTTCTTGTAAAAATTATCTTCCTATTTTTTTTCCATCAAATTTAATGTATGAGGCGTGCACTTATGGTTTTTCCAAACTTTTATCTTATTATGTAGGAATGTCTGTAAATCTGAATCTAAAATGGAACTTACATTTTCAGTGCTAAAGCGTTTTGAGGTAGGTACCATAAAATTGGATAATTTTTAATAACTTATATTTAACGCTCTAAAATTCATATTTATAGAATAAGGGTGACAAACGAGCACACAATCCACCTGATGGTAAGTGGACGCTGTGAATGTCTATTCCTAATAAAGAATTAAAATGCATATGCGTTGTTACCCCTAAGGACTAACCAGTAAAAAGGGTCTCCGGTTTTCTACACTCACCATACATAGTAGCATTAAGCTTCTATTTTACCCTGGTACTCTGTGAGAGTGTAGGCCATACCTGAACGAGCCAACTCATTCGTGCTACAATCATAATATAGCTGCAGCGTGGCACTGCGTATAAAATTTTAATGAAATCTTTCATTTACATCAGTCAAAACCATGATAATTACATAGTTTCCGAGTTTTATTTACGGGTGTAAAATTAAGACAAATGGTCTCCTCTAGAGAAATCAAAGTTACATAATAGATATCACATGGGCACTATGACTTTAAAAGTTAACATTACTTCCGTAATACGACTTACCGTCATAAAATAGGTTTTGTAATTTATTATAAGTCAATACTTATACAAAAATGTATATTTATGGTTTACAGGTATAATGTACTTGCATACTGCGATTGTAACTATAATCGTTTCTGTATAACTGTATCCTAACCAGTTCAAGGTCAGAAAGATTTCCTACGGTGATCTAAGTTCAAAGATAAGATAATAATTAAATTTTATTATAATGTGACTTAATGTTATAGAAAAATCATATAGTGTGACAAACAAGATGTATCCGTTGTAATATTAATCATTGCTTATGCATTAGTTTCCCTCATTGATATTAAAATGGTAAAAATCTACACCTGGCAACCCTGTTTTGGCATAGCGTGAATAAAGGAGACGCGAGACGCACGCCACAGCGCGGCATGGACGGAACCCGAGGATTGGACAACACGGTGGCGCGATGAAACACGCCATGCCGTGTCACCCATTCATCTACATTCATCTACAGTCTACACGGATCCACGACTAAAGTTTGCTTACGGTCCGTCAGACGTGATCCCAAATGCTTTGCAATAACAAAAACTAACGTATGAGTCATTAGATTTATATTGTAAACTTTACAAATTTTTTATTTATTTATTTAAGATACTTTTAATTAGAAATTGTTTTAATTTATAAAAAAAATGTTTGTACTTGGGGACGCCCTCATTTGTCTTATTATTAACCCTTGAGGATTTTAAGGTTTTAAGAATAATACCTACCTACACCACGCGCAACCCACGTAATATTGCGTAATGTTCATGTCACTTAAAAAACTGCCAAGTACGATAAACTTATATTGTATTGTATTTTATATTGACATTGTTAGGTAGACATGCATCAATCGTGAATGATTTGTTCATTTGACCCGGGTCGCATCAAAGTATTGATTACATTTTGCAGTTACATTTTTTAATGTTTCGGATCAATCGGTTAACAGGACCTACGACCAAAAAGAAGAGTATAGTAATGTATAATAATGACTGCCCCATTGGTCTAGTAGTTTTAAACGCGACTGCTGATCATGAGGTCCCGTGTTCGAATCCCGGGTCGAGCCAATCAGTTATTAATTTTTTCCTTCAAGAAATTCACAATAGCTGCCCGAGGTCAGGAAGTTGACGTTGTCTTTTTTTTATAGGATACGGTGACAAACGAGCACGCATTCCACCTGATGGTAAGTGGTTGCTGTGACCCATAGACATCTACGTCTATCCTCAATAAAGAATCAAAATGCAGATGCGTTTTCACCCGTGAGGACTAACGTGGAATGCTTCTTTTGCAGTAAAAAGGGTCTCCGGTTCTCTACACACACCATACGAAACACAGCAGTTTTAAGCTGCTATTTTTTATTTCTGTGAGAGCGTGGTCCTTCCCCGGTCAAGCCGGTACCCATTCGTGCTACAACTAACTACTATCTATAGCTGCAGCATGGCTCTACTACGTATTATACGTCTTACCCCCGTGCCTCTGAAAGCATGTATAGCCGTTGCCGTTGGTCCTGCGCCTGATCTCTCTCCGGTCCTGTCGCCTTGGCGTTCCATCGGTCTATGAGAGTGCACCTGTGCTTGCGCATACACTTGGGCACTATAATCCTGTCCCGCGCCGTTGGCTAGTCTCCGTTGAGGCTGGCTGCCATAGCCGAATTTCGGTCTGGAAGACATTATAGCAATGACCGACGACCGAAATTATCGAGCGGGTCTCAAGATCACAGAGTACTGAAATTCGCAATGCTCCATTTGAATGATCG